ATTTGTAATAAACATAACGAATAAAGACGATTAAAATCAAGAGATCTAAGAAATTATACCTTTGCGAAACAAATAGAAAGGCTCCATGTCTAAAGATATCGGATGAAAGGAGATCGAAGAAGGGAACGGATAAAGGCAGGTCTTTCCAGATAATTCTTGTTTATTAAAATGATTGGATTTGAGCTTTGGTTATTGTTTTTCTTTGGCTGCAAACTTATTATCTCAGCTTTTTGTTTCACGGCACAGGGTTCTCTGTTTCTTTCTATCCCACCACCACAAAAATAAAAAAACAAAAAAAAAACAACACATCTAATTCCAATCCAACCCCGATCTCCCCTTGATTTGACGTTCTTTTTCTTTTTCATTCTTGTTTTTGTTTTGGTCTAATTCCGAATTCATTCCTCTATTTTATTAAAACTGAAAATTCAGTCCATCTATATTAATTTGTCTTGATTCTCGACTTCAAAAAATTGAAAACCAGTCTAATTCGGTGCCATTGTTAGATTTTTACGTTAAACCAGTGACTTAAAAATCAACAATTCAATCATTTATATGTAAAAATTAGCACAAGTAATAGTTCACCCATTTATATGTAACAAATTAGACTATTAATAAATCAAGTTGATGTGTTATTAATAATTGGATTTTGTTTTCAATTTATGTAACTATGGGATCAAACTCTAACATATTAAACTATAAAGATCAATTTTTTAGCTTTTATAAAGTAGAAGGACGGAATTTAAAATTAAACCCCAGTCTTCTATTTTTTTTTTAGAACTCCCACTTTGACTTTCTTAGTTCGTCATTAAGAAATCAAAATCATAAATATTTATGCATTGACTTCATCTTCATTACATTGTAATTATATAAATATGATATAATTAAAAGAATGTGTGTGATGAAAATAAGTACGTATTGTGTAATAAAATGCAAGCAAGCATATATAAGGACAGATAAAAAAGGGTTGGTGGGGCAGTTCCCTTTTAAAAAAAATATAAGTTGTCATTTATAATTTATATTACTTTTAAAATTTTTATTTATAATTAATTCTTATTTTAATAAAATTATAAATTTACTTCTTTAAGATAAAATATTGTGTTCGTAGCGTGCATGTGATATATTAATGTAGTTAACATTGTCGTGCAGCTAAAGCACACCAATATCATCACCCGTCTTGCATGACACCCAGCCTTCACACCCATTTAAAACAAGCAGCAATATACATTTGTTCTCGTAATCACATTCAGGCTCTTTAATTCATAGTGATCGGCAGAGGTATACTGAATATGGTTCGTGGTCTGGAATCCAACACCGTCTCCGTGGTACTGGCACGACTGCTGCTGTTGAGTATGAGCGTAGGAATATTGGTGGCGGTGGCATCTGCCCAAGTGAAACCCCAAAACGTGTTTCCGTCGAGACCTTCGCCCCGTTGCGGCGGAATGATAAGACAATGTCCTGCTCCTTTAAATGCGGTCTTCTGGGTTGCCTTGTAGCTGTTTGACAAATCCCTCGATCACATCCTCATCTCAGTGCTATTTCGACAACGTTAGCTGCCAGGTTGGCTGCACCCCCTCTGTCATTCGACGCTCATCATCTCCTGCCGACCCTAGAATTATATATATATATATGGACGCTGTTTGTTTATTGTTTAAAAGCAAAGATGTGCAAATGTGTTTGAAATAAATAAACAAGTAAACTTACCGATTGTTTGCTTAATTCCCATAATTCATCTGACTAACTGCTTTAATCAAAAGAAAAGAATTAATGAATCATTACTTAAAATTGATAGAATGAAATTGAGTTAATAACGTACACATATCTTGCAAACGTAACTTTTTAAATTCAGAATTTCTAAAAAAAATAATATTTTTTTAACCATCGTAACTATTCAATACATTCTATAACTGATTAATGTTAACCCTGTTAGTATGAAGATCATTCCATCGTAAACTTAGAAAACTGAATAAAATATTAAAGACGACATAAAGATGTCATGTTATTGATCAAATATAGGACGTTATTTAGCCGTCATGGAGTAGTTCTATAAAATTGTAATTATTATTTTAGTAATTTATATATCCGTGTATTCACTCATCATTATTATTAGCTAGATAAATTTGATTAACATTACGTAATTATATTGTAATTTCATATAAGTTAATATCTGTTTAAAAACTATTATTATTTGATATGGAACATTCATGCATGATACATCCCTGTATACGTAGTACTTGAACTCGAAACTTTAAGAAATAACAAGAATTCCGTAATTATCGAAATCATTTCATTCGTACAAAAAACAATAATTTAAATACCAAATTGTGACGAATAATTTTTACACAAAATAAACAAAATAATATAACATCAACATGATCCATTAAATCGCAATTACAATAAACCCGACAAAGTATTCTCAACTGCTATATAGATCAACAGGGTATTTCCGACGCAAGCTTCTATATACCTATAAATACAATCTTATATCATCGCCTAAGAAACGTGTGATATATACTAAGAGTCTAAGAAACGTGTCTAAATTCGTGTAATCGATCCTCGCCTTCCCATACAAACACAAGCTTCTATACACCTATAATACAATCTTATTGATAATCACGCTCTTTGATAATTCGTAACAAATATGGGCGTTGGGCTGAGCTCCAAGTCTGTGAGTGCGGCACTGGCACGGCTGCTCTTGTTGAATATCTGCATAGGGATAGGGATCGGGGTGGCGGCGACATCCGAAAATGGGTTGGCCTCAGAACAGAACCGCCGTTGCCTTACCAAAGACGACGGGAATGTGACCTGCTTCTTAAAATGCGACATTTTCAGTTGCCTGGCAAGTTGTTTAACGAATCCAGCGTTTGGATGCGGCATGAAGTGTTTGTTACAAAACCTTGGTTGCTATAGTAGCTGCAGCGCCATTGAATTTCCAGACCCATGACCATGATCGCCTGCCAAGCTCTAGATGGACGGACGATGTTTTATCACTATATGTTATAAATAAACACTCCATAAATTTGATTAGTTTAATTTAGAATTATATAATAAATTATCAGTGAACACAATAAATATTATTATTCGAATTTGGATCATAAAAAACAATAAATTATTTTAAAATCATTAAAATCAAATTCGATTAATAGATATTTAAACCATTAACAAGGACAACATTTTTGTATGTAAGTTATAATTTTTTTAAATAATATCAATTCAATTAAAGTTCATTTGACAATAAAGAATATCTTTTAATTTTAAATATGAATTATTTACTCAAATTAAATATCTAATTTGTCACTAATTTTTTAACAAAGCTAATTAAACAGTGAGGAGTGGAGCTGGTAATTTTTTAATTTTTGTATGTATTCGTAAATTGAGTTGTATAAAAATGGCACTAACGGTCAGGTTTCTTGTTCTATTAAATTAAAAAATTGATACAAGGAAAGTATTTTGTTTTTTGTTTACTTTAATTCAAATAAAGTGTTAATTTTTATTTTGAAAAATAAGCAAAAAAAAAGTTTGCATAAATTTTTCTATGCTAAAAAAGATGAAGATATTCGAGACTTTGTGAACAGAGAGGGCCAGAGGGAAAAGTAAAGGAAAAAGATAGCAATGGCAGCAGTAGCTGAAGCTGAAGCCGATGCAACAGAGCAGAACAGAGTTCCAGTCTAAGCGCGTCGCTGTGTATTTTCCCAAGACACCCATTTCTCTCGGAATATAAAAATATCATATTCCTCTAAAATTGTACATTTTTTCTTCGGGTTGGGGTTTTTCAATTTTCTATTTTATGAAAGTACAGATTTTCTAACTTTGACTGAAGATATAGAGAAAGAGAAGGCAAACAGAGGCCAAAGCCAACAGCTTTAGACGCTCTTTCTCTCTTTCTTCCTTTGCCTTGCTTGCGTCTACATTTTTCTTCTTCCTTGTTTTGCTCTTTACAAAAGAATTATTATATTCACAGTTTTCACACGAAAACAAAAATATTTCAAACTTTTTTTTATTTCTACTAATAAAATAACATATCCATAGCTAAAAAACACAGAAGTTCTTATTTTTAACTTTATCACTCTTTATTTGTCTGCCCCAATTGTCCAAATCCAGAGCCAACCCTTTTACTCCATTAACTTTTACCTGACCCTTCTCCTTGTTATTGGGTAAGTTACTTTTTCTTTTTTGTTTTTGTTAGCATCTTCTTGAATTTCCAGTGTTTTCTTTTCTTTAGATCAATTGTTTTTTTGGCCTGATTTTGGAGATCTCTTTGTTGGTTTTGTGGTGATTAGATCAAGAGGATTCTGGCTATGCTCATTTTGTGTTTTAATTCTCTTTTTGTATAACTAGTTTGTGGCTTCATTGTGCTGTTTTCTTACCGCTTCTCTGAAGTGAAAGCTTTCTGGTGAGTGATCCGCTGAACAGCTATGATTTGTGGTTCTTGCTAAACTGGTGGGTTGGTGAAGTTCTGTGAGAATGTGATTTCTGTTTGTTTGACAAAATTGAACTCTTAAGTCTCTAATCTTCTAGGGAAAGTAGATGAGCATGGAAATTATGCTGTATAGGAAGGTAGTAAATCAGAAACATCGTAAACATCTAATGGAAGGTATATTGATTATGGTTATGATGAAAACAGAAACGGACATTCATGTGTGATGTAGTGGTTTTTTGTCTAACACGTGGCCATGTGCTTCAGTGCCATGGTCTCATTATGTTTGTAGATCCACGTGAAATGACATGGAAATATGGTTAGTAATTTGCAGTATTGAATCTTAGTGGGGGAATTTAATCAATTATGATATGCTAGAATATATATTTCTACTTTTCTGGAATGTTTCATGAGTTTGTTCATTAGCTGATTTAAGGCCATTGAATACATGTTTCCAGGACTACCATTTTCTTGTGATTTTACCTTGCTAGAAAGTTTATGAAACTCGTTTAAGCAATTTCATGATTTCTTAGTTGAGGATCTCTTGTTGGGGAGACAACTGTAAACCTTGCTGGATTAAAATACACTATCAGAAAATATTTAGGAGGCAAGGGCACATAAGATGCCATCTGGTGCTTAATTTACGCCAACCTTCTATTCTGACTACTGTTCTAGAGAACATGGGTTTATTATGCAGCAAAAATCATCGTTACACTGAAGCTGATGCCGAGGAGAATGCACAGGTAAACACAGTTTACATACACGGTTTATCATCCTTTTATGGAGTACAACCGGCAAATTTAATTTCGAGTTTGTTCATTTTCAGGCTACAGAAATTGAAAGGAGAATTGAACAAGAGAGTAAGGCGGAAAAGCATATCCAAAAGCTTCTATTACTTGGTGCGTACAACTTAGATTATGTTCTTTGTTGCCTTATTTGTTTGCAAATAACTTAGATTATGTGCTCATATTTTTACTGTGTTAAACTCTCATTCCTATGTTTGCATGGTTGAAGATATCAATCATGGTTCCTGTTGAGCACGTTCTGAATTTTATGTATATGAAATAAATTATATTAAATACCACTTGTCCCCCATGTTTGTCCACGGAAATACTCCTGCTTAGGTACAGTCCTTTTAGGATTTGATATGCATATCAATCTTATCACATAATATTTTGATGGCTGCATTCCACTATTCTTTTTCATTTTCTTCCAACACTTTGGCAAATAGATGGACATTAGGTGCTGATTTGCTGCAATAGTTTTGTTTTCTTTCATATTCTTTCAATACTTTCCTCTTCTCTTTTCTGGCCCCTTCATTGATGATTGAAATGTTCATTGTTTTTAAGGTGCCGGTGAATCTGGGAAGTCAACAATTTTTAAGCAGGTTAGACCGATTGATCATTCCTTTGTTGAACTTATTTCGTATTTGTTGATATGTGTATCATATTTGATATTTTTATTCTACATGGCTTGTCTGCAGATAAAGCTTCTGTTTCAAACTGGTTTTGATGAGGAAGAGCTAAAGAGCTATATCTCAGTCATCCATGCAAACATCTATCAGACTATAAAAGTACGCAAAACCTGAAAAGGGTGTGTTGGTTTATTTCCTATAAGGTGTCAGTTATCTATTATGCGAAATTTTATTTCTCTTACGAGATGATCTTTATCTATGTTTTTAAATTGTGCTTTACATGGCGTATAGATTCTGTACGATGGATCGAAGGAATTTGCCCAAAATGAAGTAGATTCTTCCAAATATGTTCTATCCAGTGAAAATAAGGTTTGAAGTCATTTTTTCTTCTATGCTGTATTTGCAAAGTTTAGTAATTGCATTCCAATTAGTTTCTCTTTGTCTCTCTTTTTGAAATAATCAGTTATCGTATCAGTGGTCAAGGTATTACCTAAACTTTCTATTCTATATCAGGTTATTGGAGAGAAACTATCAGAAATCGGAAGCGGGTTGGACTGTCCGAGTCTAAATAGAGAACTTGCACAAGAGATAGAAACTCTCTGGAAAGATTCTGCAATTCAGGTAACCATGCTTTATCTATAAACAATATAAGCTGATTATGTAACTCCATTGTTTAATTTTGTATTTAGTGTTCTTTTTCTTTTCTGTATAGAATTTACTGATTTTTACAAAATTAGGTCTTTCCGACGGTGCATTTTAGTACTTAATCACTCTTTGTACTTGCAGGAAACCTATGCACGTGGTAATGAACTTCAAGTACCGGACTGTACTCATTATTTCATGGAAAATTTGCAGAGATTGTCTGATGCAAATTATATTCCAACAAAGGTATCTAGAATTTGCAATAGTTACTTCTTAAAGAGGTTTTAGTGCCATGCATACGTCCTGCTCGTGAAAACAATCAATGTATGTACGATTAATTGTTTCATGTCCTTCTCAAGATGAGCATGCATGATAAAGAAAACCTTGAACACGAAAATTTTATTTCCTATCTGGATCGTTATTAGCTCATTCAACATTCAAGCTGTCGGTTACATTGCATTATAGCTTATCTTCTAAAGATATTTCTCTAAATCAGCTTCCTAATCTGGTTCATATTGCAGGAGGATGTTCTATATGCAAGAGTTCGTACAACTGGTGTTGTTGAAATCCAGTTCAGGTGAATTATATTTAGACTCTCCTATACTTATTGCAAATTAATTGATTTGAACAATTAAGCTAAACCTAATAAATGAACCGATGTTTTTGCCTTCTCGAAATCTGATTGAGTTCAGATGTATATGCTTACATGGATAAATTAAAATAGGTACTAAATTAGGTGTCATGATCTCTGCAGATTATAGTTTTGGTAAGGCGACTTAAATCAATGGTTACATCATAGATCCTACATAGGTCCCAGTCTGCATTTTGTAGGATAAATTGATTAATAATCAGTGTCGTCTATGATGTCTGCTTTGCAGCCCTGTGGGGGAGAATAAGAAAAGTGGTGAAGTATACAGGCTGTTTGATGTGGGAGGCCAGAGAAATGAGAGAAGGAAATGGATCCATCTATTTGAAGGTGTTACAGCTGTGATCTTTTGTGCTACTATTAGCGAGTAAGATCCTTTTTACTTTTGCCATCTCTAAATTCTGTTGTCTGTATGTGTATCGACACCTAACTGTTTCTATATCAGAGCCTGGTATAAAAATGCAGAAATGGTAACCAGGAAATTGTGGTGGTTGTAGGTATGATCAAACTCTTTTCGAGGATGAACAGAGGAATCGGATGGTGGAGACAAAACAACTCTTTGATTGGGTCTTAAAGCAGCCATGCTTTGAGGTTCTCATCATGCTATATATGCCTCCTTGTGTATCTAATAATTAAGAATTGCTCATATCTGGAATTTTGCTTAATCTGAAACCTGGTTCTTTTCTGCAGAAAACATCCTTCATGCTGTTTCTCAACAAATTCGACATATTCGAAACGAAGGTTCTAAAGGTAAAAGCCACTGGAATGGTATAAATTTTAAGATGTTTATGTTTTAGCATCGGTGTGGTCTTTGACGGCCGGCATTATGTAGGTTCCACTAAATGTATGCGAGTGGTTCAAAGATTACCAGCCCGTTTCAACGGGAAAACAAGAGATTGAGCATGCATACGAGTAAGCAATTTTTTTAATTTATTATTTCTCATCCTTATGAAAAGTAATTTTCATCCAAGACTGTTTATGATTCACTTTCTGTTCAGGTTCGTAAAGAAGAAATTCGAGGAGTTATATTTTCAAAGCACCGCCCCTGATCGAGTAGATCGAGTCTTTAAGATCTACAGAACCAACGCCCTTGACCAGAAGCTTGTGAAGAAAACTTTCAAGCTCGTTGACGAGTCTTTGAGACGGAGAAATCTGTTCGAGGCTGGGTTGTTGTGAATGATGAGCAAACAAAAGCGAAACCCATTTGCAGAGACTGTTGATAAAATGAAGAATGTTGATCACCATTTTGGATGTTGGAGAAGACACTGCCATATCATATTATATTTTCATCACAGGCTAAATTTTTTATTTCCCCATATCCTTGATCATTTTTTTTCTTTCTAAAATCTCCCACGATTCCAGGTGCTGATTTGTTCAGAGTGAAACATTCCCCACAGGGATTTGTTTGGTGGGGGATATTGGATCAGACATGAAGGAACGATGAACATGAGAATATATTCTTTATTTTCTAGTAATACAACACATCGTTTATAATATTCTTAGTAATGTTCGTAATAATTACTCGTCTGGGAAACTTTGGCTTTACATGTTATAACGAAAACCTGCTTACCTATTACCTGTATGTCAATTATTTTTATTACTCCAGATCATACAATGTCTGCAGTACAACCAAGCCACTATTTCATGGTTATTATTATTATTTCCAGGATGAACTAGGTATTTAGTGACTCGACTCTCACTTTAATTCTATTTTGATCACTTAACTATTTATTTTTTAAATTATCACTAACGTTATGTATTTAGTCACTTGTCGTTGAAAAGTTAACTGTGACGTTGAAGTGTTATTATAAAGTAATATCATGTCATTACTCAAAAAAATTTAAAAATATCACATCATTAGTTCTATTAATTTTTTAACTACGGGTGACAAAAATGAAACCAAAACGTAATGTTAGTGATGATTTTGAAAAAAAAGTAGTTGATTGATCAAAACATAACTAAAGTAATAGTTGGGTGACTAAATATATAGTTTACCCTTATTTTTAAGATGAATGACAATTAAAAAGTCAAATTTATCTCAATTTCACCACCATGATGCTTCCTCTGTAGCAGCACGACATGGAATCGTTTCTTCTGCACGTTGGACGCTGCTCCAAATTGGTTGAGCTTCAAGTTTTTTGGAATTTTTCCTGTTTCTAGCATTGTAAATTTTACACAATCAAGATGTTTAAGTGGAGGTTCTTTATCTATGAAACTGTCAAATTAAACACGTGTTTTGGGATCATTCAAATTTGAGACTTCTAACAAAAGTTTTCCACTGTTTGCTCTCTACTTTAATGGCTTTTTAACTGTGTTGATCTCAAATGGCATCTATTTGGACTTGTGTAATCAACTTTAGGAAAAACTGGAATTTTGCAGATGAATTCTGCTCCTAGAATCTGATTCCAGACAATTAAAAGTACAACCTCTGGAAGGATTCCAATGGGATATGGGTTTAAAGAGATTGCTCTTTTACTTCACTCTTTTCCTTGGCCGTTGGATCAGAATTTTTCTTCACCCGAAACTATATTCCAAATGGACGATAGTTCACATTTTCCTTTAAAGTAAGGCAAAATATAGAGGCTACATGAACTTGGAACAAAAGGGTTTCTCTGTTTTTCATAAATGGACTCCATAGCTACATACAGGTCAAGAAGGTCTTTTGAGAAATGGGTGGCGATTGTGTTGACAGTTCTAGCTGTGGTTTCGCCTCTTTACGTCAACCAGAAGCCGAGTTATGAACCAGAGCTCGAAGAGCAACCCATGGACTTCACCTCGTGGTTGTTTCTACTGCTTCTGCTACTGGTGTTGGCCCTTGCTTTCTGGTTTTACTTGAAGCGGAGCTTTACAAGTTTCGACCGTCATTGGATTAGGCCGAGCAGATATTCTTCACATGAGAGACTGGTGGCAATAGGCTTGATTGTCTTGGGTGTTCTTTCACCCCTTTATATGAACAAGGGAACCGTGAGTGAACTCGAACCTGATGAGCAGCCCATCAACTTCGGTTCTTGGTTGGCTCTTCTGCTATTGATATTAATCTTGGCCATCGCTTTGTCGCTTTGCTGTGACGGAGGCTTTACGAGCTTCGATCCTAACTGGATTCATAGAGTTGGTGGTTCTTCTGCTGGGATCTTACTGCTGCTCTTGGTTCTTGCTGTTGTTTTGAAGTGTAAGACTTCTGGCACGAACTGAGAAGCTTGGTTAAAGTTGAATTTCTAACAACAGTAAGTGCTTTATTAAAGAACATAAATCATGAAGCTTCTGTTTTCAGATAGAGATCCTCTGTTTCATAGTTTCAGGTAATTATACCATGTCCTTGAAGGAGGAATATACAGTTAAACTGGTGTTTTCCCATCTGTGTATGGTTTCCATAATCCTTGTTAGATTCAAACTGATCTTATTGGGTTAGGAAAAAAGTTTTGATATAACTGAATTGAACCCGTATTCAAATCCGAGTAATGTATACAGGTACCATAAGCGTTTTGCAAATATGTTAGTCCATTTTCAATCATCTGATTCAATTTCAACTGAAATGGAATAGTAGACCAGCAACTGACCACAATCTAGTCCCATGGTATGAATGTAGCTCAACAATATCAAGATAAACAACATATACCATTTCAAGAGAAAATGATGTAATTGTCATGTCAAGTATGTTCAATCAATCTGAAATTTGACACATATAACTGGAGAAATCAATGGCATAAAGTGTGAACTTGCTCAATGTGGGAAAAACAAATCAATAAAATTATAAAACCTGCCCTCCCCCGGAAAACATAAGAGAGAGGCTCAATGATAAAAGGTAATGGATTGAAGCAGGCCTCAGAATGAACAATCAAGTGGCAAACGGCTCAAGATACTATGGGATATGTTCACAATCAGAAGGCGTATCCCGCCACAATCAAAGCTGTAACAGCATACGTCCACAAATGACCTTGTCGAGATAAATCATCAGCACTGTTGCATTGATCATTGGCACCACTAAAGCATCCAGGTCTCGAAATTTTAGCCACACCTCCCTGTGGAACAAAGCTACTGTTATGCTTACCACTGCTGAACAGCACACACCAGAAATAGGGACCCCCACCATCTGTACCCGTTGTAGCAGCCCCAACTTCAGTGTGGTTCTTATTGTAAAGAATTTCCAAACTCTTCTCGCTTTCCATCAACATCGAGAATGCTTCGGAAGGCTCAACATATTTGGATTGGCATCCAAGTAAACGGCCAGTGATTGGAGTCAGGGTTGAGGCATCAACACCACAGTTGGGGGCAAAAGTTTCAGCAAATTCAGAATCAGAAGGCTTCTTGGTTTCTCCTACAGCTTTACAATCACCTTGGTATGCTTTTATATATTGCAAAGCAATGCAGGCCAGGCCTTGGTTGTCAGTAAGAGATGATGACTTGTGTGCTGTCCTGTTGGCATTAAGCACAGCCACCAACTCATCCGCAGGATTATCGGTTACTTTGGCTACAATTGAACAGTTCAATCATTACGATTCAAGAATAACTATATAATTAGATCATAAACTGAAAGCACAAATTCTCTGTGAAACATTAGATACCGCAAAATGTAAGGAGCCTTTGCGATAAACACCAACCCGTTGGATCAATTCTAATTCGATCTTAAGCTTCCATATATCAATCACTACTTTTTAAATGATAGTCATTAGTTTCTAAGATAACAAAATAGAAGGAAATCTAAGATCCAAAAGTAAAGTTTCTTTCCCTTTTCAACTAAATAAAGGACAGCAAAATAAATCAACCAACTAAAATACAAAGCTTTAGAACAGCAATGCCTGAGATTCAGATCAATGTCATGTTTAGCCAACTTAGAAATAGCAGCTGCATTCGGAAAATATAAAAGAAACCCAGAAATAAACATGAAAAAAAGGATATAGTTTATATAGTTATGAAGCAGGCCAAAAGACATACATACGATGTACGAAGTCATTCATTATCACACAAAATAAGCTTTAAGAAAAACTAGAATTTTTTGGACTGTAGCTAATAAAGGTGGATAAGAGAAGAGGATGAAGGAGACTTACTTTGAGTGTTGGCAGAAACAGAGAGAAAAAGAAAAGGAGAAAAAAGAAGCCATAAAGCCATCGCCATTGTTGATGTGAAGAGTAACTCAGTAGATCTGATACAGGAGAAAGAAAGAAACAGAGAGAGATAGAGATGCGAGAGTCGGTAAAATGTCGACCTCGTTTCGGTTGCTTTACAACTACGGCTAATCTGTTTTTTGGGTCTTTAATTGCCGGCATTGCCCCCGCGTCTACGTATTTAGTTTTAAATCTTTGTATAAACTATCTATTTGATCATCCACGTGCTTTTTATTTTCTATTATAATAATGATATAATTATTTTTAAAATTACATCTAATTTTTAATTAACTTTATTTGACTATTATATGAATATCTTATGAGAATAAAATTAAACTTTTTTTATATTAGTAATAAAGAATCAGATCATAATCATCTCTTTTGGTTAAATTTAAGTGAGAGCTGTACACTATTTCAACATCATTGTTGATTTTCAATGGGTGATTAGATCAAGACAAAAAATAGTATTGGATATAATTTTCATAAGGAAATAATTAAGTGATATGAACGAAATCGTATAAATAGATGATTGATTAAATATATAGTTTACCCTAAAATTAAAAGTCAAAGAGTCATGCTAATAAAAAAAAAGGTAAAAGGATCAAAATAGAATACTAGAGCTGCTATTGGTTAATCCTGCTGTTAGTGTGAGGAAGTGTGGAAGGGGTCGCTCTTTGTTCTTCCCGCATATAGGAGGGAGGCTGCTTTAGGTTCGCGTGGTCTACCTTTGGTCTCCTTGCTGCCTTTCCGATTTGGTTTCACTCCCGAGAACTGCTTTATTCTTAGGTGGCGTTTGATTCGTTAGAATATTTATGAGAAAATTGGAATCTGTGAAGGAATTGAAATCTGTAGGAATTGAAATCTGAATCTGAAACATGTTTGATTGGTAGGAAATTGAATTGGAATCCAATTTCATATTCTGTTTAATTATCTGACATGTCAGATGAATTTGATTTCAGTAATGTAAAATGACAGAATTTTTCTTCTTGTTTTTTTGCTTAATTTTAGTTTGTTTTATAACTTACATGTAGCAATATATTATAAAATTTAAAAAATATTAAATTTTCATTTTATTGATTTATTATTCATTTCAATAAATTATAAAAATCATACTAATAAACATCATAAGTTAAAATCATCCCAATTGGGGATGACCATGGGTCGGGTTTTTGGTCCACCAGACCTGACCCTAAAAACAAGGGAACCTCCACCCGATACCCGACCCGACCCGAATATATGAATTAGAACCCGACCCGAAATAATAAAAAAATGTTTTTATTCAATAAAAACAGTGACTTAATTGAAAAAAACTATAAATAGAGGGGTATTATTGTAATTATTCATAAATATATAAAGTAAAATTATATATTCTTTCGGGTCTGGTATTTTTCACCCTAAACCCGAACCCAACCCGAATATCACACTTAAAAAACCCGACCCAGATATCACTATAGCGGAAGATATATATACTTACACAAATATAAGTATTTTTTCAATAAAAATATAATATAAGAATTAACTAGATGATTGGTGATCAAAATACGTTCAAAAAATGATAGTAAAAAAGTGTATAGTATGTGTTTATTTCGACGTATCACTATAGCGGAAGATATATATATTTACACAAATATAAGTATGTGTTTATTTCTGGGTATCATGATAGTGGTAAATGTACATACTTACCTCGGTGTAAATTTGATGCCTAGAAATTAACACATACTTATATTTGTGTAAGTATGTATATATTTGATTAATGTGTTGATTAAAATAAAATATAAAGAAATATATATTTTAATAATTTTAAAAATAAAATATCATAAATAAATAAACTTCAAAAAATGAGCTTATAAACGAGTTAAAAAAATGAACTAACAAACCAAATACATATGTGTGTTCGTGTTCATTCATTTATTGAACGAACATTAAATTTTTGTTCATATTCGTTTATTTAACTCAATAAACAAATGTCATACGCACTATCCATGAATAATTTACCTAATGTTATATTCATTTATACATTTTTTAACCATATTAACATTAATTTATCAGGTATTAGTATTATGCATTACTATATATAAAACTTTATTTAGACGTTTTAAAATTTTAAATTCTTGACTCGTCCATGATTCCAAGAGTGTGAAATCTGTAATCAACAAAGCTATGATGCTAACAAAAATATAATATCCCTAGGTTTACAACTGATAGATTCTTAACCAATACTAGCAATTAATTAATTGGATCTTATTATATTAATCAAGACTCTTAACCTTGTGGTTGTGAGATCGAGTCCCACGATAGACAATTCATAATGCTGGAGGTCTCCCACGGAAGCTGCGCTCAACCTGATCTACTATCCTACATCTCTTTACCCTATTATATATATGAGAATAAGGTCAGCTAATTTATTATATTAATCAATGCAGCTTTTGTTTCAACTACTTTCAAGGTTTTTCAAACTCTAAAGTGAGGGCACTAAAATAAAATAAACCGCCTACAATTCTTGAATGATATCCACTGCTGCCTTAAACTAATATAGTTTAACCTTGTTTATTGGTTTTCATCTAATATGATCATGTTAGAGTTTGACTTTAAGAGGTTTTTCATCTGCAGGGTGGGTGGGTGGTGCCCATTTTTCACCTTCTGTAATTGGTCCATTTACGGTGTTTAATGAGCCACCAGTGAGTGAGTACACAATGATAAATGGAAAACTTTACGTGATTCAGTTCTCAGCTCACTGTCTTCTCCAATCTTTTGGAGAAAGACCTGTATTGTAGAAAGTGTAGGAAAGACCATGGGAAAAGCTTACAGTGCCTGGTCCCTTTTACCAGGTAAAGGAAATCCTAAGATTCGATTGTAATAATTGACATCAGAGCATAGCAAAACATTGTTTCTTGTTGAAATTGATTCAATTGCCATTAAATTTTGTGGACCATCTTCTTTCAAGTGCTTGCTTGCTTCTGTTGATGACCCCGACATATTTTACATTGTACCTTGAACAAAAACTTGAGTAGGACATGTACTCATCTTTTTTCACTTTAAATTGTTGTAATATTAAGGCTTGAATACACAATGTTCAAGAAAGAAAGCTCCTAATGGCAATTCTCATAACTTTCACTATTCCCATGGGTGTGGGGGGGACGAAGATATGCCTTTGCCTTTACCGTCACAATCCACACCCCCAAATTCATTCGAATCTTTCGTTTTCCCACTCTTTTCTCTTTTTATTTTTTCCTTGTTCAATCAAGTGCCGCTGTCAGTATCTCTTCAGTTCCAGATCATGATCAAAGAATTAACAAATCCCCATTTCTTACTTTTTCCAGAAAAAATCCATGCTTCCCTTTCCTTTTTCATGCTACACTTTGCCTTTATTTTCCTTGTCTTGCATGTTTGCTTTAGTTTCCCATTTCACTTAAACAACAAAACCCAAAATGAAAGTGGAATCCATTGGATATTTACACCAAAAATGGCCGTAAAACAATGCATAAACAAGACTAGAACAGATACAAAAAAGGTGAAAATTAACTACGCTATCAAGCCATTAGCAATGGCTCGATTTGTTTCTACATGAGTAGTTTCATACACTGGAAGCTCTTCTCTATACTTTTTGTTACCAATAACAACAAGATGATCTAGCTCAAACAAATCCGAACTCGAATAGCTAGCTGCATCATCCTGATCTTCATCCATCTCCACCGTTACGTAATTACTGCGATTTCCCCTTGAAATATAGTCGTTCTTCCTTTGGTTTAGATGATGTTCTTTCAAAAACTTTGCAGCCATTTCTTCTACTCGCCTAGCTTTTTCCATTACTTGGAATTTTATTTCCTCTTTGACCTTTCTCGATGGAGATTTCCGGATTTTCCACACGGCAACCGGCACTGAACTTGACGAGTCTTCTTCTTCGTATATACATTTTTGCCCACATGGTCTGCAGTCTTCATCAACGATTACACTCACCGGGCAAAATCTAACATTTCTTTTGACTCCGTTACGAAGCCTTTCTCTTGTGGAAGGCGAGTTCTTGCTTAAACATGATCTTGAAAACGAGGAAGCTGAAGAACAAGTTGAAACCTTGCCGGACTTCAATTTCCGTTCATCATCACAACTTACGATTGAAGATGGAGTGCCCCTTGCTTTCTTTGTGTTGCTTGTTGTGAACAGAGAATAGATGAAACTCGCTAGTCGGCCACCTGGTGAAATGGAATGCTTCACCTTCTTTAAATTGCTGTAAATTTTGGTGGATTTTGAACTGAAAAGACTTTCGTGGAGCTTTGGTGTATAGTCAGAGGCTGAACTATAATGATAATCGTCGAGCATATGCAACCCTGTTTTCTCTGTTTTGACTGATTTCTCCGACCGAATGGATTCTCTGGTCCTGATAGGTTTCAGCTTCGATGTTACAAAACAAGATGATTTGGATTTAGTAACATGCATAGATTCAGTGTCAGACGCTGAGAAACCACCGGAACTGGAATCAGATGAAGTGGAAGTGGAAGTGGAAGTGGAAGTGGAGCTAAAGAAAACCACATCATGGTCATGATCACGATCATGACCATATTCGTGATGTGATTTCCTTAGGAAATCAGAGAAAAGCTGTTTCCTGTCTCCATTCGCCTTTTCGTTAACCTTGTTTTCCACCCATTTCTCGATCAAACAAGCTTGTCGGAGACTCGACATCTCTTCATCTTCTTCCTCTCCATATCCTCTACTTTTGTTGCATTTCGTGGTACCTTTGATCTGTTTCTTTTGTATTGTTTCCGTGTAGAATTTCAAGTCGCCGTTTGTGGTGTCACCATCATCGATGGAACGGTAGATTTTGTCAAGCAGAGTAGAAGAAAAAGATGGGTTATATCTCTCCTGCTTGTACACTGTTTTCTCCAATCTGTACATGGCCTTTCGTTTCGTAATAATGGGCTAACAAAGCAGTTGATGCTTTTCTTTTTCTCCGAAGACAGAGAGAGTGGAGAAAGCAAAATTGCAATCGAAGATGGAACGGAAACTTGGCACTATATAAAGGCGTTTTACATCTGTCTACGTGGCAGTCTTCTGCCTTTCTTTTTTCGTCAATTCCCATATTAGCCCTTTCATTTTCATTCGCTTTGAAATTTGGACTGTTTAGTCAGATCCACACTATAGATTCAACCAATACATACGTATGATAATAATGGTATGAGAAATAATAATATTATTTTATAAATTTTTAATCTTTAAATTAACATTTATTAACGAAAAAAACACCAATTGTCTATCTAATAATTAATCAAAGAAGGGAGGAAGGTTCAATTTCTTTTTATTTTGTTTCTGGCCAATTAAGGAAGTTGAGTGTTGCTAGGGTTTCAAAATTGCCACTTCGTTCGCATAGTTACTGAATCTTCTTCAGTATCGGTAGGCAGAAGTCTTACAATTGTGAGACAACTCTCTGATCGGTACGACAATGTACCCCAAATATAAATCTTATTCGTACGATCTTTTCACTTTTTATTTTAAAAAATTAATTCACGTTTATTTAAAAAATAACAACACATCATGTATTATAGTATCATAAATGATGTAATACATGCCTCACTCGAGACGAAACCATACAAATTTGATGTAAGGATTTCGCAGGTTATTATTTATTATTAATAATTGTTGTTTAACATTTAATGAGCACATTAAACCCTCATATTACAGAACCGAGAATCATGTTTACTATTTTTCTTTTTAATCAGTGTTTGACGTGGAAGCACATATGTAGCCCATTTGGCTTGGGTAGGGTTGTAAATTAGGAGTGAGTGTTCGGTCGTGTCGAGTAAAAAGTTTTTGAGTTATTCTAGTTGACCAGTTCTATTTTATAAGAGTTAATTTCATCATATGTCCCTAGACTATGATCATCATTCTAAATTGATACCTAAACTTTTAAATATTCTATTTTCATCCTCAAACTATGATATTCATTCTAAATTGGTCCTTGAGCTTTTGAATATTCTAATTTCATCCTCAGACTACGACCATCATTCTAAATTACTCCCCAAACTTTTAAATATTCCATTTTCATCCAAAGTTCATCCAAATATGTAATTAGTTTTAACCATAGTTTAACCTAAACTTTATTTTTTTCGAACATATAATAATATAGCTTGGATTAACGATTTTATTAACATGGAATGTGATTAATATATACATATAATTTGAGATGAAATTGAAATGTTGAAAAGTTCGGGACCAATTTAAAATGAAGGATATAGTTTGGGGATGAAACTAAAATGTTTAAAATTTTGAGGACAAATTTAGAATGATAATTATAGTTTAGGGATGAAATTGAACATTTAGAAGTTTAGTGACCAATTTAAAAAAGATCATAGTTTGAGGACATATCGTTTAATTAACTCATTTTATAATCTACATTTTATTTGAAATTTTTTTAGTCTAGTCAAATTGTTTGAGTTTTTTTTAATTTAATTATAAATATTTATAATAATTATAAATATTTATAATATTATGATATTATTTAATTATAATTTAAACGATTTTCTATAACTATGTGTGTTCTTCTAGTTCTATTTTATAATTTGACTCGAATTTCAACTTTTTTCAACTTGAGTTGAGTTTATAAAATTGTAAGTCGAGTCAATTTGAGTCAAGTCGAAAAGATCAATTTCTCGAGTCAAGTTTTAATCACCCCTGTTATAAATGAGACGAGATAGATCATGAGTTATTCGAATTTGACTCAATTAAAGCTCAACAACACTCGACTCGAGTTCTGAACAAGTTGAAATGAATTACTTTATACCCAACTCGAAAAGCTCACGAGCAACTCAAAAATATAATGTATTAAATTTTAATTTTTTACATTAAATCATTGATAATATTAACATTTGTATATATTTTTAATACAATATAAGACTTTCACACACTTAAAGTTCAAGTTCGAACTTGAACTGAGCTCGAGTTTAAACTTCAATCGAATTAAATCTGAGAATGTTTGGAGTTCAAATTTTTTCGAACTCAATTCGAGCTTCAAATTTTGATTAGAGTTTAACTTTTAAAAAATTGCTTTTAATCATGACGTAAAAGACCATCTTAACTATGGTAAATTGAATGGGAAAACCTCTAAATTTGGAACTTTAATCATCTAGAGAGCCTTCATTTTGTTTCAATTTAAAGCCCCGAAAATGATAACGGCTCATTTGGATGTTTTTGAAAATTGAAACTGAAAACGAACGCGACACTGAAAAGAACTTTTCCTTTTATTTGTGGTTAAACTACATCATTAGCCATTAAACTTCAAGTTATATATAGATTTTAGCACTGAACTTCAATTTAAGTCACAATTAGGGCATTTAAATCTTTAAACCGTTAACAATACGATGATATGGATATTTTTTTCTTCTTATTTTCTTGTAGAAAGTCGTTAATTCCTTCGACCGTCATTGTCGATCAATCATCGTTTATTATTTATCGTCATTCGTGACAAGATCAGTATCTAAATTTTCACATTTCACTCACGTTTATGAAATTCACTGAAAGGCAACGAAAATCCATCAAAAGATTTGACATTCTAATATTTTGATCTCCTTTAACATTCGTCCAATGAAACTAGTTTTTAGATTTTTTTTATTCTCGAAAAATACTTTTCACCATTTGAATTTCTCAAATAAACATCTCAAATCCAAGAAAACTATTGAACCCAAAATAATGGATTTCTTGTGTTTAATTTCATGAATTTTAAAGAGATTTAAAGAAATTTTAAATTAATTAAGAGATATAAGACGATGAGATGAGTTCACTGTTGTTTAAAATGGTTGCAAAAGACATCAGAAAATAATGACTTCTAACTCCGGTTGAGAATAGACGAAAAAAAAACTCTAATTTTAATGAAGAATATAATGAAGTGAAATAAACAATTATTTTTTAACTTTCACACCATACACGTCAATTTTAACGTATTATTGTTAGTAGAAATAATTTAACGGCATGATATCTTAATTAAAGCATAAAATAAAATATAATACTAAAATTAAAACTTTTAAAAAATCAATATATAATGTAAAGTTTAATGAATAAGGATATAGTTTAACCTTTATTTATCTTATAGGCCAATATGCCTTTTCTACCCTACTCAAAAGGGTTTAGTCAATATACGGTCTAAAGAAGATTGCGCACCCCACTTCCCCAAAGCAAACATGCGCTGCTATTTATTTCTTTCGACAGGATTCGACGATTTAAAACATTTCAATCTATATTACATTACTTGATTAAGACAAATTTGTGTTTTTTCTTTGTCTATTCCAAATCTAAAACTTGTTTCCATGATTTGACTTAAAAAGAAGATCCTAGTGCATTCTCTACTGTTAAACAAGATTAATTCCGCATCGAAATTACTTTGTCTTCTATTAAAACGATTTAATTTAATCGATTAAATATTTATTAATAATCTCATTCGACTTTTTAAAAATATTCAAATTTTCACTAAAAACTTCAAGAATATATATATATATATATATATATATATATATATATGCAATAAGAGAAAATATGTATATGCATTAAGGGTGCGTTTGGTTCACGGAATGTAAGATTACCAGTGGAAATAAAAGATTATCAGGGAATATGATTACTGGGAATGTTGTATTTTGTGTTTTATTGGTTTAGCAGGAATGTAAGATTACCGTGTTTGGTTGGTTTAGCAGGAATGTAAGATTAATATGTTTGGTTAAAGGAATAAAAGATTATTAAAATGTATATTTGACAAAATTGTCCTTATTATATATTTGTATAATATTACAAGTTGTAAAATATTTATATATTTTCTTTAAAAAATTAAAATTCATAATATTTATATAATTTTTTACAAAATTAAAAATATAAAAAAGGTTTAATGAAAGGGTAAAATTTTATTTTAACCCCTGAACTTCATATAAAATTTTAATTATAGTCTTTTTTTTAAATCTAAAATAATTTAAGGATAAATTTGTAATTTAACCTTCGTAGAATTTTTATTATTCAATGACAGAAGATTGATATTTTTGAAAAAAAATAAAAATTTAAGGGCATTTTAGTCCAAAACGCCGGTAATGTTACGATACCTAAGAGAAGGGAGGTAATGACATTCCCGGTAATATACCCAAAAAAATATACCCAAACGGGAGAATGTGGATTCCATTCCCGGGAGAATCCCACATTCCCCCATCTAAACGCCCCCTAAGAGAAATGAAGTCGACTGGGACGATCATCTTTTTTTTTAAAAAAATTAAATTCTAATATAATTTATATTTTTTTTATATATTTTCTTTTGATAATCTGTTTTCGTTTCTCTTATAATTTTATAAATTTGTCTCTCCTGAAATTTTAAAAGAATTATTCCAACATAATATCATGTGTCTGTTCCTAATTAAAACACATATCCAGGTTCACTTAACCTAATTAGCAAACCCGGTCTAGACATGATACGCCACTTAGTTTCTACAAAAACCTTGAGAAAACCAGTGGTATACATTAACCATCAACATGATTAAGAATCCCCGATAAGGACGGAGATCAGAAACCCATAAAGTAGAGATTACATAGTATCGTGTTATGATCGCTGTTTGAATGGAGTGCAGGGTCGTGTGCCTGAAAATTCCATGCCAAGACCACATGGTGTGCTGTTTCCGGTTTGTTATCATGACCCTTGTGTGTGCCCTTTGTGGTGGGAAAAAAGGGAGAGTGATGCAGAAAGGTCAGCGATGTGGTCTCTTCAAACGGTTCCAAGCAGTCAGCTTTGGATGTTGGAGAGTTAAAATACAAGGCAAATGCAAGGGTGGCTTCCACCACTTAGGAAGCAATATTAGACAGTGATCCATGTGTACTTTCAACATCTGATGCGAATAGATCTGGTGGAACTTTCACCACATTAAATATATACATGTATACACTACTATAAACAAAAGGTAGGCCCCTAATAGACATATATGTACATGATATCTCGTGTGAGATTATTAATCCATTAATTTAAATTTAAGCATTATATAATTTAATCATTAAATAATTTTTATAATTCGATTTATTTTTAAAATTTGAATTTTATATTTTATTTAAAAACTAACTGATGATTGAGGATGATCATGAGTCAGGTCAAGTCGAATTTTTGGCTCACTTAAATCTGACCCAAAAATTAAATCATTCATATATATCCAATCTGACACGGGTTTAAGAGGAACCCACCCTACTAAAAAATATATTAAGATAATTAAATTTAAAAAAAAAAGTCGTCAAAAATTATTATATTTGATAACACGTAAAAATCGTAATAATATATACAATTAAAAATATTTTTTCAGTTTTCAAAGTTTTTTTATTAAATTAATATGATTACAAAGTAGTATATGTTTTAAATGTTTTTAATTATTTGACTATAAATATTCAATCACCCTTGAAATTGTTGGTGTTTTGAACCCGTGATCTCTTAAAACAACAATTATTCCCTAAATCACTGAGATAAGTTGATTCGTACTGATTTTCAAACTCTAAATACACTTTTAGCAATACATGTATAGACCATAGCCTAGCAACGGTTTTGTATCATTATACATTTTTCACAATAATAATTCTGCATTTTGTAACTATTTTAACATTACTAAATATCACTTTTAGTTGTATCATTAAGAAAAGATATATGATGATTTTATGTTAGGATGACGAATTTATAAAATTTTAAAAAGAAATAAATTTATAAAATTTTCAAAATATATAAGAATTTAATTTTTTTAATGAAACGAACGCCACCATCTCCTCTCAACTTATCCTGAATGAAATAAGCCTTGAAAACTTCGTAATGCATCAATTAATTAAAAGCGGAGTGAATGGGAACAATAAATTTTTTTAATAATGTGATGAAAAAAAAATTCATCTAGGGTTTTAGTAGAATTATTTTATGATTTAACTAGTGTGATTGCTACAATACTCATCGGAGAACGTTCAGACAACACAACGTCTTTTGAAAGACGCTCGGACGATGGGGTATCTTTGACAAAACTATAACGTTCTAAGTTTTCAGGTGTGCATGTAGTTGGAGGGAAGACGTAATGTCATCAGGATATTCTCCGAAAAATACTGTAACAACCACATAGATCAAAAAATAATTCTCGTTACACCCTAGATGATTTTCCCCCATCACAATGTGTTGGCAATTTTAAGGGATGGGAACCATGAACAAAATGGTGCCCCCAATGGAAATGGCCCAAAAGAGAGAGGGACAAAAACTTTGTAGGATGGGGAGGTTGCCTCCTCGGCAGAGTAGTGCATAGCCACACCTCATTATTCTTTTACCTCTTCATTTTGCACTCTTGCAGACAACAGTATACGCCTTGCTAACTGAGAATGAAACGGTGGAGTTCTCTTTTCTTTCCACTTTCTTGGTTGGCAATGAAGAAAGAAATGTGCTCTTTTCCAACCAAACCAAAGACATATGATGGCTTTCTATTTTTGGCAACTTCGCTTTTGCTTTTGCTTTTGCTTATGTTTGCCAATTGTAGTGGAGTCGAGCATCATGCATCCACGTGTACTACTGCATGCCATGACTTGACAGCTTCCTGTTTTTCTATCTGCACTTTGATCTATCTTTTATGTATTAACATTAAGAGTGGATTTCTAATTTTTTATATTTTTATATAATTTTTATTAATATTAATCTATTTTCATTTACATAAATTAACAGGGTTGGAGTGGGACTTGGGAGACACCAACGCGAATGGTGAACATGATGATGAGACAAAGCCACATTTTTTGGGGTCTCCCATGTGAATGAGGATAGGATAATATCATATAGGGTATTGCCAGGGCCTATGGGGCCGGGGGAGAGTGAGTTAACGCTTAAGGTCGTCGTCCTCTTCAATATTCATGTCTCCAGAATCAGTAGGTCTACCGTTAATATGCATGATACTTATTAGGTAAGACCCACGTTCTCTGGTAGCTATCCACAGGGTTTGACTAGCCCATTCAACCAAGATACAAACAAGTTGAAAATGAGAGCAAGGAGAAGGCTTGATCAACATTCGTATTTTGATGCTGGACGGTGGGTTTCAGACTTAGGGCAGTGCTTTGTACATGTAGAAAATGGAAAGAAGGCAATATTTTGCATATCAGTGTTCATCTACATTGGAACTCTTCTTCACTTATTTTTTCAAGTGTCATTAATGCAAAATTATGTGATTGATGAGTTGCAGAGTCCTACCTATTAACCCCTACCATCCATGTTATAAAGCCAGGCTAAATTAGCATTTATTCACAAGGAAATAGTAACACGTCCGATTATTGTTTAACTACGGGTTTCAAAGCAATCATTCGAATGATAAACATACCATTAACAACTAATTTTCTTCAACTGAATAAAGGAGTAGATCGGTCCCATGATTTTTAGCAGAGTGCAACCTTTCTAAAAGAAAATTCTCACCATTAACCACTGCTCTTTACATGGTTCTCTTCTCGAATCAACCAGCATTTTGCCGCTGAATATCTACCAACTGATAGAGATCACCACGCCGTTGCTTTGTCAAAGGGAGATTCATCCTAAATTTCATACAAGCACCCAATTAAAATTCGTTGGAAATTATGATTGAATAGAACTACAAGCATAAAACACATGCATAGAACAGATATTGTGATAGAAGCCAAGTCACCTTCGTTGCTCAAGTATTGAATAATCAATCTCTGCTATAATTATGTCCTCATCATGTTCAGTTGTGGCTAGGACTTCTCCAAACTGTTACGTGCAAAAACTTAAGTATGTACTTGTCCTCTCAAAGGACTTCAAACCACAAAAGATACAGGAAGGCTGGCATTCAACATGTATTACAGAAGCAAAGCCTTATTTTGTTAATCCACAAAAGTGCTAAAAAAAGCATCTTTACTCACAGGTCCTACAAGGGTTGAGTGACCCCAAGCTATGTAACCGGCTCCAGCATCTCGAGCAGGTGAACAAGTTGCAACATATAACTGTTGTTTAGAATTTTGTTAAGAGAAGAAAGAAACCATTTATGCACAATCAGATATCCATGTTCTAGACAGCAAAGAGCTCTTAACGATCTGAAAACACCAGTTCTGATAAAATAGACTCCACTTCCAATATCCATTATCCATGGTAACATCGGAGTATAACTTATATAAACAATTATTTTTCAAAGCTTAATAAAGCAGGAGGAATACAGTACCCTGTCTCCGCTACTCATCTAGAACAGCATCAGAGTCCAACATGTGAAACTAACCAAAAACCGGCTGCATTCTAGTTTTGACCATAAAATGACAGGATTTACAGTAATTTATATTCGTACTAGCACTGTCTGTCTTATTGAACTAAACAGTACATGTAAATTATGAGACTATGAAAGCCTTTACACTGATCAACTGTAGAGAGGAAAATTTTGACTATACCTGATTATCCACAGCCCTGCATACAGAACAGCAAACTGTCACGTGCAAAGTTGATTAGGAAAAATTGGATGTTCAAAGCCAAAAAGAGCAAAGTTGGAGCACACACTGGTACAGCTAGATATAAGTTTTAATTCATAGCTGCCAAAGTAATTTAATTTTCGCCCTTTAATTTAAATGATGGTTTTGGAAGATGGTCAAACATGATAAATTCCACTTCATCAAGTAAATTTGTTGGTGTCTTGGCAAAGCAAATTCAGCAGGCATCGTTTAACTATAGAAGAAATGATATGTACAGAGTTCCTTACAAGTAAAGAACTGGTAATTCAGCATTCAGCTATATACTGCTGTACTCAAAGCAACAAACTTTCAGCATACTTCAGTCATTTTAAAGGCACTATAATGTCCAGATAAAACTAAAACAAGGAACCATCCCTGTAAGGATGCAAGGCCAAAAGAATTGAAACCTGACTTTTCAATTGCTCTCTGCAGTTATCACATTCCCCCCTCTACCTACCTTACTTCTCTTGCCTTTCAAATGAAGTTTAACGAATTAGCAAGGAGAGTGAAAGCAGGGAAATAATTAGCACCTTGCTCTCTGCAACAACTCCCAATGCAATGGTCCGGTTGTCATGTTAAATGCTCCAGGATAGCATAGCAAGTGAGCACCTAATTTCAACAACACAACACAGGAGAAGTAGGCCATGACAATAATTCTCAAAACTATAAAATAAATTAGGACATAACAATTGCATTCATCAGCTAGAAAAAGCAAATATTGAAAATGAAATTAATCGTATCATGGTTTAATGGAAAAGTAAACACACCTCTTGAGGCATATATCATTGCCAATTCTGGAAAGCGAATGTCATAACAAATGCCTATACCAATTCGCCCAACATCTACATGAACTATTGATGATTAGCTTTCCGCTTAGAATATTACTCACCTAGTATATTTAGTTCCTGAAAACAATTACTTGTTGGTGAAATCTAAATGGTGAAGATTTAAGGAATAGAGAAACGTTACATGACAGGGAAAGAGATGATTGACACTATATGATCTAGAAAATGATTCTAACAAAAATTATGACAGGGTAACATGTTCATGGATGCAAAGTCTTAAGGAAACATCAACCTGTGTCCACAATAGTAGGAGTCGCCCCAGCAGTAAGGGTCTTGGGTTCCATAAATGTAATCTTCCCAGGAATATCAATATCAAAGAGGTGCCTCATCCCACTGAATATTAAATGGTTCAGGCATCTAGTAATACCCGTAGATGTATGAACTTATATACAGGTGATGAATTGCCCGATGTTGCACCATACTCAAATCATTCTGCCTATTGGACAATATTAAATGGAGTACATTTTCTATATACTACCATGTGGGATAGGAAGTGCCTCTATTAGGGTAAACTATTACGACCGCTAAAGTAGTTGTGCATTTTCATTTTAATTACCGATATTTTAATTTTGTCAATCAAATTATTTAAATATTTAAATTAAATAACTAGTTGTTAATATATGATGGAGGAGATGACGTGGTTGTTAAAAATATTTATATAATTATACATTCTACTTTAGCGGAGGCTATTAACTTTGTGGTTGTGGGATTGAGTCCCACTGAGGGCAATTCATAACGGAGGTCTTTCACGGAAGCTGCTCTCAACCTAGCGTTAGGGACAGCCTACTACCCTACCTCCCCTTATCCCATTATATATGGGAATAGGGTTAACTAATATTAATTTGATCTTAATTTAAATTTAATTAAAATTTATTAAATTGAAATTAAAAAATATTTGTAATCAGGTGGTGACATATGTCTCAATTTAATATGAGAATTAAATTAAATTTAAGATCAAATTGAGAGAATGTATAAATTATGATGACTAAATATGTGGTTATATCAATTTTATTAACTAACACGTCAATTGTTCCGTTAAATTTTAAAGGCAAAATGGTTTGATTGAAACTATTTAAATAGTTATACAGTCATATTGCCCAAATTGAAAGTATGGTGGTCATATCAACACCAATCTCATAGCTAAGTGGTCATTTGAGTAGTTTACCTTTTTTTTACTAACGACCAAGTGATCTAATGAGATGAGATACTAAATCCTTTAAGTAATGTCAGGAGTTTGAATTCTGATGTTTGTCAATGGAGTAAACAAGGTTGGGAGAATTGTCCCCATCATGGACGGACGCAAGAAATTATATCAAAAGGGGCGAACTTATAAAAATTTAAAATATTGATGAACTTATAAAATTTTAGGAGATGAAACATATTTACAGCATAAAATACAAATAAAATATCTAAAATATATAAGAATTTAAAATGTTTAGGGGAGGCGATCGCCCCCACCTGCCTCCCCCTAGGTTCATTCAGTCCCTATAATAGACATTTGTAAAATCATATATAAAATAGTAGATCAATAGATTAAATATTAACTATTAAAAATTATAAACTTTTATTTTATAGATATTCATCCTATTTAATTTTTAAAAATTTTAAAAATCAATTGAGAAAATAAAACAATTTATTACTAATAATTATCTAATAATATATATTTTAAATATGTTACATCATTTAAAAAATTAGTAATCTAAATGTATAGATATTAAAATTTTGAATTTAATTTCGTGAAATGGGCTTTTTAAAAAATATAAAAAAATGATTTACTATTAAATGGGTCAATCCCGTTCTGTTCAGGATTTGGCTCGCATAATTTCTGCCTTTCCTACTGTCTCCCTCCGTAGTCCGAGAGAGAGATAAACAAAGAGAAAGGCTTTAAAACTAAAAACAATTTTTTCTTTTGCAAATCTTTCTTTTCCCTCCTTTTCCTCTCACCCCCACAGTCCGTTTCCTTCCCGTTTTCTTTGCTTCTTGATCCCACTCTCCAAAACAAACAGCCTTCTCTTTGAACGAGAAGCCGAAAGGAAGAAAACAATCAGTCCGGACTATGGACGGCGGCGTTCCGTACAACCCACGTACCGTCGAAGAAGTCTTCCGGGATTTCAAGGGTCGTCGAGCTGGCATGATTAAAGCCCTTACTACTGGTCATACTTTTCAACTGTACTTGTAAATTTTACTGCTCTTTTTCTCTTGCTTGACTCCCATTTTATTAACCATCTTTTATTTTCCTTTTTGGGTATTGTGATCGTTTCAGATGTGGAGGAGTTTTACCAGCAGTGTGATCCAGGTACTGGGTTTTTGTTTTTATGGAGCATTGATTTCTGGATTTTTATACCCAGCTTTGTTTTGCTTGGTTGATTAGATAATTTACCTGGGAATTGAAGTTCCGGTTTTTATTTTCAAGGTCGATTTCTTTTTATATATAAATGAAACTGAAGAATTCAAGCCCGGTGATTCAAGTTGTTTAAAGTTGAGTATAAATGAAGTTATCAATGCATCCCATGGTATTTAAGATTGTATCTTTATTGTTCTTTAAAATTATGGCCTGAAGAAACACCTCAATTATGGGGTTACCCTTTGAAAATAAAAATGAATGGTTTAAGCTGAGTACCATATCGGTTGTTTAGGTGTTATGGATTAAATCATTTCAGCATTACTGTTGTTGTTCCTTACTTGTTGTGTTAGAAATGTAGATTCTTTTTTTTTCTTTAGACAAGTATATGTTTTCAAAGTTGGCAGGAAATTCTTTGCATTTGTTTTTTATTGACAAACAAGTTTAAGATTGTTGCCACTGTTTGATTCTTATTGGTTCTTTTGACTCGATTAAAAAACATGTGCATCTGAAGTTGGATGCAAATTGATCAATGCAAATGCTAAACTCAGTGTGGTTACCTTATCTTTTATCCGTTCTACCTTGTGAGGTTCTAGATGCACGGAATGAAATGAGATAATTCAAATGTTAAAATTTTGACTGCAGAAAAGGAGAATCTTTGCCTCTATGGATTTCCTACTGAGCAGTGGGAGGTGAATTTACCTGCAGAAGAGGTGCCTCCGGAGATTCCCGAACCTGTACTGGGTATTAACTTTGCCAGAGATGGAATGCAAGAAAAGGACTGGTTGTCTTTGGTTGCTGTACACAGTGACGCTTGGTTACTCTCCGTGGCTTTCTATTTTGGTGCTAGGTTTGGATTTGATAAATCTGATAGGTATTTTTCACACCACCCAACATAGTTTCCTAGTTTGGCTTTACGTACACATTCTAGGTGCAAATAAGCTAATTTACTTGGTTGGCATGCATACAATCCCAGCCTAGTTCGGCAAAATAATTTATTTGTTTCTCTTGTAGTTTCGATGTTTTGTTTTTATTAAGATTTTATACTAATTGTATATTTGTCATGAAATTTTTTGTCATGTTAACCTTCCCCTTAATTGACAAATCTTTTGCCTAATTTAAGGTTTCCCCTCAATTATACCATGCTGGTTGATGTGATGCAGGAACGCCTTTTCAATATGATAGTGATCTTCCAACAATATTCGAAGTTGTGACAGGGGCGGCTAAGAAACAGACAAAGGAGAAATCTTCAGTTCAAATCATAGCAGCAACAAATCTAAATCAAACTCTAAGGTGCTTTTTTTCTTGTGTCATTCATTATTGTCTCATTCATTATAAAAGCTCTAGTGGTGAAAGTCTAATTCTTCGGAATTGTTTCCATTTTGTCTGTTGCATCAATGTTTCTGATAAGTTTATTCTCCTTGTGGTGATAGCTGTCCCAAAAGAGGGAAATGACTTCAAATTTTCAAGGGGACCTTATAATTAGATTTTCTTTTCCCTTTGTGTTTAACAAAATGCAGCGAGGTTCTGAATCTCAGCCCAAATTCAAAGTCAGTGCTGTCAAAAGACGAGGATGACGACGATGAGGAAGACGAGGAACATGAGATGCATTATGCGGGGCTTGCGGAGAATGATGGAGCTGATGAATTTTGGATATGCTGTGATATATGTGAGAAATGGTTCCACGGAAAGTGTGTCAAGATTACTCCAGCTAAGGCAGAGTTCATTAAGCAGTACAAATGCCCATCATGCAACAACAAGAGAGCACGACCTTGACGATGGCCACCCGGTGGCTTGTGTGTGAATTCTGTCATTGTGGAGTCTGCTAGCTGTCTAGAAGTTCATCCTCTCAAGTATGTTCCTTTGTCTTAGCAAATCTTTCATGGATTTTCTGTGTAGGTGGCAATGCTGTTTAAGTTGATTATGAATAGGATATTAATAAGGCCGAGAATCATTTTTCTTTGCCACTGGAAGGAGACTTGATTCTTCTTGTGTTTATATGCATGCAACTTCATTTCCATTTCATATATTATTACTCTATTTACCGTGTTTGGGGCAGTATAAGACACGGTCCAGCCCAGCACAACGGCTTGTTTGATGAGGCTCTTGGGCAAAGTGCTGTTTACATGACTGCCCGTGTTTAAATAATACACTTGAAATCAAATTATAAATAAAAAGTTAAGAAAGACGGGGAAATGTTTTGTCCATCCAACTGCACGTTCTTCTACTGTTCAACCTAGGATTATTTAGTATTTAGTGACAGGGATTAGATTAAAGTAAATGCTAGTCTTATTAAAATATGCTAAGCATGTGCTATAATACTTGTTCTTGACTGAGACGCCTTATCCACCATGAATGTCACATGACTTGCACCATGTCATGTGATCCTTTTCTCTGTCAGTTTGGATGTTTTCACTCCATTAAATGTGAAAAATGGTTTCACTACATCTTAAATTGTAACTGCAACTCCGACGTAAAATAAGCATGTAAAGTGAATCCAACGGCGGGCTTTTCATTTTTACTATATGAGACATTCTTTATTCCGATTCTCCCCATCGTTATCCTAATCCGTTTGGATGCTATCCTCAAAATAACACTAGTCTTATTGGTTCCTCAAAACTGACCAATGTCCAATAGATTAAGAGGGCATGTGATCTCCCTGTTGCTATTCAAGGTGTCCCTGCAGCTCTCTATTTTAAGAATGCATGGGAATAATTTATTATTTACATATTTCGACTTAGTGCACCGTGCAGGTGACCTGTATAATTAAAACGAATGAGAACATTATTTAGTTTTATATAAAAGGCCGGTTGACTGCTAAATCTTTTGATGATTTTGTCATTTTTCTATTCTATAACAAAGGGTAAATTTGGGGCTGAGATTTGAGAATACCAATTTGTTATAGACCCAAAGTAGGAAGCTTTGAGTAATTATCCTTTTGTATCCGAATTGTGTCATTTTAAGTCTTTGAAGGGCACAGCCAAGATAGTACGGTTTGTAAAGTAAAAGCAAACTCCATGATGTTGAATTGAATAAAAGTAATCTGAAGACAGAAATAGCCAGTAGTATGATTTTAAATTGAATCCATTTTGAATCATCATTTGACTTACAATAATAGAATGACAACATAACACTTTGGGGGTAGAAAAAGGCTTAATCATGACAGATGACAACAGATGAAAAAGAAAGAATTTCTATAAGTTTTACATTGACAGTGATCCTTTATCATTACAAGGCCAACAGGGAACAAGGTTGGTTTTAACAAGCCTGAAGCATCTCAAGTGTGAGAAAATCTATATGTTATTTTTCCTTCAGCCGCCCCTGTTATGCCAGCTCTCTTGGCTCTTAGTCGATAACCGTTTCAAGAACTCATAGGTAGTGATCATGGTTGTTGCAGACAGAGACATTGATGCCCATCTTGGTCCCAGTCCCCTATAACAAGCTGCTAACCCTTCGTTAACCAAATTCCTTACTGTCTGCAAAACTGTCATAGGTTTTCTCATCCCATTCTTTTCTCCATCCAGAACCTGTAGTCTGGTCTTGATGGTGTCAAGTGGCATTGTGATTAGAGCCGAAACGCCACTAGCTATGGTGGCACTTAACCCTTGGACATCCACTAAGGTTTTTGAATCAGGCTTCAAACCAGATCCTCCAATCATACTACTCTCATCTCTTTTACCCATACAGCAACCAAGACCAACCCAAATGAGCTTGTGAGCAACAGAGTACGATGTCCACCAAACCGCATTCGACGCGTATGTCAATATTGAAATCCCAATCCCCTATACACCCTTAGGATCTTCGTAACGCATCAATACCATTCTTATATCTACAATTTGAAAATGCATTTCTGCAACTGTTGATATTGTTGTAACCTTGAACCATAAGTCTTTGGCTCACGACATCGATCGGGGTCCAAACAAGTTGAGCAGCACAACAGGGTAAAGAGCAAATGATACACCTGAAAATAAAGCGGCACCAAGAAAAAAGAACTTGGATTTATCAAGCATATGCCAATCTGTACCTGCCGGTATATGAATCTCTGACCCCGAATCATCCTCGGCTGCACTTAAACTCATTTTTGCCACTTTTGATAAACTGTTTAGTACAAACAACTAAAATCTGTTTTTGTTACCCTTTCACCAAAATTAATCAGAAACCACCTCAAAATCCAATTCAAAACTAAATGTAGACCAACCCAGCTCAACTCAAATATAACTCCAGCTACCTGGGTTTTCTATAAAGTTAAAGCTACAAATTAGTATGGGTGTGGAAAAGATTTAAAAAAAAGTCGGAATAAACGATATAAAAAGGCTAAAAACTGTGGGTTTTTATTCTCTGAAGTAATTGGATTTTGGACTGTATCCAGTTAGGAGTTCGAAGCGGAAAGGAAAGGAAAAATGAAGATTTTATCCGTTAGTATTGGGTTAAAGACCTAAAAAGGAAAGGGTTTTTCTTGGTTTCCTCTTCTTCCTTTTGCGAAGCCAAATCCGAGAGCGAAGGTGGATCAGCAGAAATAAATCGAACATTTACTCACCATACAGAAACCCAGGATTTTATTTTTGATTCTTTCCAGAAAAACTCCAAGCATTTGCAACATCTTCGAGGCTTCATGTTTTACCAGTAGGCAACTGGGAAATCACGGACAGAGAGAGTGAAAAAGCCCAGATCTCGATAGCAAATAATATGAAAGAAGTGGGCAAAAGGTGGAGTTCCACAGAAAGCGAAATGCCTAAATGGATAGTGCCAATATGAATGAAATATGACGAGACTTAAAAAAGAGAGCTTCAACGGTAGAGGCTAGAAAGAGAGAGAGAGACAAAGAACATTGGTTATGGATTTTAGTATAGTGTTTGCGGGTCGATGAAAATAGACACGTGTCCGTATTTTACTTCGATAGTTATTGGTTTTGCAGGCTGATTTTGAGGTTCACTTGGTTTAAGCAGCTTGATTGTTGCTGGCCTCTGATTTCTAACTAAAAACCGTGGGTTATATCAAATCGTTTGCATCTCTATCATTCAATTGTCGATAAAATTAACCGATTCATACTTGTATAAATAAAAAATATTTTTTTATTAGTATGAAGTGATTAAAATATAATATATATTTAAAAAAATTAATTATTAAATAGTAAACATTCAAATACACTTTATAAATGCTATATTCAATTTTTTTAAAATAATAATTATCCATCTGATTACTGAAGTCTTTTAATTTGTTCATATAAAATTTCAAATTCTTAGAGGCATTTGGGATAAAGTAAGTGAGCAAGACTGATAATCTCTAGAATTATCGTCTCTCTTGCTTATCCTCCTATATGAATCTGTTCTTGCCCTTCCAAATCAGTCTGAATCAGCTTAATCTCCTGTTTCATCACATATCAAAGCGGCTTCATAGTTCATACATCCTTTTTCCGTAAAATTTTAGAGCTTCGAATCATGGATTTGAGGAACTTGGGCTTCGATTCTCCTCTATTAACAATCCTGGAAGACATGCTTGACATCCCAGAGGAGCAGGAGAAGACCCGAAACAACCCGTCTCGAGCCTATGTTCGAGATGCAAAGGCCATGGCGGCCACTCCAGCTGACGTGATGGAGTATCCAACATCTTACGTATTCATCGTGGACATGCCTGGAATAAGCCATGGCGAGATCAAGGTCCAGGTAGAGAACGACAACGTGCTGGTGGGTGAGCGAGCGGAAGCGTGAGAAAGAGAAAGATGAGAAAGAAGGGGTGAAGTACGTGAGGATGGAAAGGAGGGTGGGGAAGTTCATGAGGAAGTTCCAATTGCCTGAGAATGCCAACATGGATAAGATATCTGCAGTTTGTAAAGATGGAGTTTTGAGAGTCACAGTGGAGAAATTACCTCCACCTGAACCTAAAAAGCCCAAGACCATTGAGGTCAAAGTTGCATGAGAATTGTTGTTTGATTTCAACAATAACAAACGTCTGTGTGTGTGAGTTTATGAACACATGAAATAATAAAGTTTGTTCTTTATTTCCTCTGAAACCCAAAGTTGTTCTTAATTTCCTCTTTTCTTTAGGGATGTGAACACATGAAATAATAAAGTTTGTTTCTTTATTTCCTCTGAAACCCAAAGTTGTTTTAATTTCCTCTTTTCTTTAGGATGAGTGAAGATGGTGAGATCAAATGTTGCGTGTTATATTTCTGAACAAAAGAAATTTGTTTGATGGATTAACAACGGGGAAAGAAAGCATTGGATACTGTTTATACTGACCACGTAACCACAACATCCACCAAATGCTTCAATCTACTGAATGCTGAATTAACAACTGAGTTCGTCTCTTCGAAACCAACATCCCAAACCTTCCATGGTTTTTTCATAAGCTATCAGAGGTGGAGTTATGGGATTTGATCCATCCTTCGCCTTTGGCTGATAGGGCTCCTGGACTTCCCCAACCAAACAGCTCCCATTTGCGTCCTCCTCGCACCTACGGTCCGGGTTTAAAAACATAATATTAAATTACGATTGTATAAATCAAAAGGGTAAATTACACAAATATTCGTGCCAATAGGATATACTTTGTTGATTTGTTAATTATGAAACATTACAAAATAGTTTTTTAATCATAGGGCAATATTTTTTGAGTTTTTATTGTTAAAAGTTATAAAATATTATATGATTATTTATTGTTTTAAATTCGTTTTTTTTTATTAAGATTTAATAAAGTTGAAAGTTCAATATGTTGATTTATATATAATAAAATTTGATTTAAGAATTGTTTGAGTTTATTTTTTAGATCGACTTTCTACTTATATTATGTTGTTGAGATAGGATTTGAAATATTATGTTATCGGTCAGTGTTTGAAACAACAACGATATTATTAAATATCATTAAATATGATTTTATTAATATTTTTAGTTTAGATGATTATCAAATTTTTAATGAAAAGGAACGAGTTTAGATATATAAATAGTTAAATGATCATTTTAACTTTTAATAGTTTGAAAATTTAACAAAACAATACCTTATAATTGAGAAATTATTTTATAACTTCTAACAATAGAAGGATTTAATAAAATATATTCTATAATAGATAATCATTTATCTTCTTTATCCATACTAAAAATACAATGATTCTTTGAAAACCACATCATAATATTCTCAATATCTTTACTTAAAATGTTTAAAATATTTTTATGAAAATAGATATTAAAAGTATTTATTTTTTATTTAGAATTTAAGTTATTGTTACATCAAAATGGTTATTTAAAATGTATCATTTTAAAAACCAAAAAGTTATCTAAAAAAAATACAGTGTTCTTTATGCAGATAATATTTTAATATTTAATTAATAAAAGTATTCTAAATGTTTAAATAAAAAAGTTATACTATTTGTCCTACTATTTTTGTCTTATATTGATTAAATATATAATTTTAATAGATAAATTTGATCAAATTTTGAATAATATGAAATAATATAAAATGAGAGAAATAATAAAATTATCATAAAAATTGATAGATATATTTATTTTAATAAATATAAAAGATAAGCCATATATAAAATTTAAAAAGAATAAATTTAACGAATAACATTTATTTTAATATATTTTTTAGATTAAGCCTTAAAAAATATCTTCACCAAGTTAAGCTTTAGCAATAAAAGAATCCGGGCCACCACGGTGTGAATGTTGACTGGCGTTTGGGTCTAGGGATGGGCATCGGACTGGACCCGTCGGGTCGGATTTTTTAAAGTCAATGTTTGGGTCGGATCAGATTCTGATTTAAGAGGAAAAATATTCGATCAAACTCGACTCAAAAAAAATATAATTTTACTTTATATATTTAAAAATAATTACAATAATATTCTTCTATATATTATTTTTTCAATTAAATCATTGTTTTTATTAAATAAAAATAATATTTTTTATTATTTCAAGTCGGATTGATTTAAATTTTATTTCAAAAAATCGGATCAAATCTAGTGGAAGGTATATATTATATGGATCAAGTAAGATTTCAGATAGATAAGTTATTGTTCTCGGATCGAGTTATGTGATAAAAAATCCGACTCAACCCGATTTTTGCCCATTTCTGTATGAGGGTAGAAAAGTCAAGGAGGGTAAGAAATTCTAGACCTTCCAAAACATTCTGGAAAGTGGAACCATTCAAGAAAAGAATGAAACACAATCTTCTAGAAAGCTCCCGACGTTTTCTTGCGGAAACTTTCTACCCGACCTTATAATCATCTAAACCATTCACCGATTTCTATCCAAGAAACAAATCGGCATCGAAGGAAAATCCAAACAGTCTCGTCCAATAATCCATCATCAGAAAGGGAAAAAATGGATTTCAGAATTGTGGGTTTAGATGATTCTCCGTTATTCAACACTCTCCAACACATGATGGATCTTTCCGAGGACACGGAGAAGATACCCAACGCGCCATCGAAGGTTTACGTGCGTGATGCCAAGGCCATGGCTGCAACTCCGGCGGATATTAAAGAGTACCCCAAGTCTTACGCGTTCATCGTCGACATGCCGGGACTGAAATCAGGGGACATCAAGGTGCAAGTGGAGGACGACAATGTGCTGTTGATCAGCGGAGAGAGGAAGCGAGAGGAGGAGAAAGAAGGAGCCAAGTATATAAGGATGGAGAGGCGGGTGGGCAAGTTTATGAGGAAATTTACGCTGCCTGAGAATGCTAATACTGATGCTATCTCTGCAGTTTGTCAAGACGGGGTTTAACCGTGACCGTGGAAACTGCCGCCCCCTGAGCCTAAGAAACCCAAGACCATCGAGGTCAAAATAGCTTGGGAGTTTCAGAATTACGGTCATTGCTAATGTAGGTTCCTTTAAATAAGATGGCGGTTGTCGCCCTGTGAATTGTTGTACTGTTTGCTTTTGAATGTGTTGCCCGAGCTCTCTTTGTTGTGCCGTAGAAATCATGAAATGCAGATGTTAATTACTAGTGCTTTCTTGTATGTTTCCCTCTCTTGTTTTAATCACATGAACGGTTCTAGGGAATCAAATCGCCAAATGCAGGGGAATTTCTATTGAAACTCACAAGTTGAAAGAAAATATCAATTTGATTCATTTTTTATTTTATTTAATAAGTTCAATAAAATTTTATAAAATTTTTACTTGATATAATCTAATAATATATATATATTTAATCAAAATATAAAAATAATATGTGAAACAATTTTAAAATCTGAATTTTGAAAATAACAATTCACAATATATTGAACTAATATTACAATTAAAATAACAATCCACAATATATTTAACTAATATAGTTCATAGTTTTAATGGCGCAGGATAATGGTTTTCTCTAGGTGCACGTTAGCAGTTCTAATGTCCGATGGGATATTCGTTGGTCATCCAGTCGGTTTTGATCAGTTTTTTTTTGATCTTTTTTTTTTTGTTTGTTTTCTTGATTGTTGCATCTGATTCATGAGTGTGTTGCCTAAGCTTGACCGGAAGCAGTTGTTTGGAGGGGTAGTGGAGGAGTCTTTGGACTATTTTCCTCCAATTGTTAGCGACGGTGTTCCAACGGTACAGCCTCTGTCTAAGGTTTTGGAAGATGAAATTGATGACTGAAAATTTTCGCTGGTGGGTCAGTTTCTTGGTCCTGCCTCGAATTTTGGTACTATGCAGAGATTTGTTGAATTACTTTTGGGGAACTCTCTATGGTTAAGGTTAGTATGGCTGGTTCTGGTCTTTATGTTTTTTTTCCTTTCCTAGTGTTGTTGCTAGAGATAGGATTCTTGATGGAGGACCTTGGCATTTTCAATATAAGCCGTTAATCCTTAGAAAATGGGTGCCTGGGATTGAGAAACTAGATTTTGATCTCTCGCTGATGCCACTTTGGGTGCACTTGTACAATGCCCCTTTAGAGTTGTATTCTAGACGGATTGAGGGATTGGATATTGCGAGTGCTCTGGGTACTCCTTTTAGACATGGACTCAGTCACTGCTTCGAGAGGAAGATTGGAGTTTGCGAAGGTTTGTGTTGAAGTGAAAGCAGGTATAGCTCTTCCTTAATTTGTCAATGTGGTTTTGCGTGAGGGTTTGACTGTCTCTATGTGAGTAGTTGTTTCTTGGATGCCTTTGTGCTGTATTGGGTGTAATGACAGATCTTGTCCAACTCGTTTGAAATCGGCTCAAGAACCGGTTAAGGTCTGGAAAGTGAAGGATGCTGGTATTGCTTCTTCATCCAAAGTGACTGAGAATGCTGCTGTGGTGCAGGGGATTGCTTTGGATGTTGAGGCCAATTTGGTTGATGTTGAGGGGGGAAATGTGGATGTTGAGGAGGCTCAGGTTGCTTTGGAGCAGTCGGATGACTTGACTGGTGAAGCTAGTTCTCCGAGTCCTGTGCTTTGTGATGTTGGTGATCATGCTATTGGATCTAAGGGTAAAGAGGTGATGCAAGGGGCTGATTTTCCTGCCTCGCAAGAATCTATAGGGTAGAAGAAGAAGGCTCGTGGGCGAGCTAAAGAGAAGAAGTTGCTGAGCAGTTCTTCAAGCAGGTTTGAGGTGCTTAATGCTGATGGTGTTGATGTGCCTAGGAAGGCTTGGGTGGCATCATTGGGGGTTGCTGCTATTCTAAATGATATGAAGGCTAAGAAACGAGACAATATTGAGAAAGCTCGAGTAATTGTTATTGTTGGTGAGGGAGGTGAGGCCTCTGGAGTTACTTAATGATTGTTTGCTTGTGGAACATAAGGGGATTTAATAATCCTCCGAAACGTGCAAAGGTGTTGAAGCGGTTGGAGAGCTTCAAGGTTGGTGTAATCTGTTTTATGGAGACTCGTATTCGGTTACATAATGCTGCTGGGTGTATAGATTCTTTGCTGGTTGGTTGGAATTTTTGTCATAATTATGATTATGTTGAAAATGGTAGGCTTTGGGTTTTATGGAGATATCATTTGCAGGTTGATGTTATTCAAGTGGCTGATCAATCTCTCACTATTAGGGGAGAGGTAGGTGGGCATAGGTTGACTATTACTGCTGTTTATGGAAGTAATAGTGGCATAGATATGAGAACTTTGGGGTCAATTATGTGATTTGAAGGCTACTGTTGGTGATTCTCCTTGGCTTATTGGGGGAGACTTTAACATTTATGCTCGGCCTGAGGAGAGCTCTGATTTTACTGAGGTTGGTCATTACTCTAATGCTGATATGGATGATTTTTTGAGTTGTCTGGATGATTTGGAGGTTCTGGATCACCCTTATTCTGGGCCTATTTTTACTTGGACCAATAAGCAAGTGGAGGGGGTTTTTGGCTTAGTATGTTGGACCAGATTTTGGTTAATTCTGCTTGGTTGCAAGTATTTCCTGATTCCTTTGTTGAATTTAAAGCTCAAGGGGTTTCGGATCACTGTCTAGGATCACTGATATTGGGTTTTTAAGGAAGCGCAGGCTAATAATCCTAAGCCTTTTAAATTCTTCAATTTCTGGACTGATAATGCTGAGTTTGTTTCGATTTTGAGGGATTCTTGGTGTAAGGAAGTGTCTGGGAATGCTATGGAAAGGCTATTTTGTAAGCTGAAGCGGCTTAAGCCTGTTTTGAGGGATTTGAATAGAAGGCATTATGTTGAAATTTCTAAGAGAGTTGTTGAGAACGTGGGCAGTTGGAGCAGGTTCAACTATTTAATCTGCCTCATGCTGATTTGCGAGATGTGGGGAAGGAACATAACCTATCTGTTGAGCTTTTGGAACTTGAGAAAGCTGAAGCTTCCTTCTATAGGCAGAGAGCCAAGATCCAATGGCTAAAGGAAGGTGATATGGGTACAAAGTTCTTTCACTCGACGGTGATGGAGAAGAGGAAGACTAACACGATCCGTTTGCTAAAGGATGCTGAGGGACGTCGTTTGGAATCATTCGAGAAGATGTCAGCTGAGATGGTTAAGTTCTATACTGGGCTCATTGGTTCTTCTGATCCTGCTGTGAGCTGTCCTGAGGTAGGGAAGATTAGGGAGAAGCTTGGAGTTTGGTCTAGGAAAGTTTTCAGTTATGGGTTTGGCTTCAGCTTATCAAAGCAGTGTTGTTTAGCATCTCAAATTTCTGGTGCAGGCAAGTCCTCCTCCGTAAGGTGGTTATCAGGAAAATTGAGCAAATGTGTATGAGATTCATCTGGAAGGGCAGGGATGATTCTGCTTAAGGTTGTGCTCGTGTTAGCTGGCATCAGATGTGTGCTCTGAAGGCTGAGGGGGTCTGGGAGTGAGAGATTTGACTTGTTGGATTCGAACTTGCAGTTTTCAGTTAATTAAGTGTATTCTGGCTGGTGACGGCTCTCTTTGGGTGGCCTGGGTAAAAGAATATGCTTTTAAAAGGGATGATTTTTGGAGTGTGGAATGTAAGTCTTAGTATAGTTGGAGTTTGAGGAAGTTGCTAAAATTGAGGGCTGAAGCTAATGTGCTTTTTAGTAATGGTGTGAATTGGACAATGGTTAATAATAGCTGGATTTGGGATAAAGTTAGGGACAAGAAGCCTAAGGTGTTGTGGCATCGGGTTGTTTGGTTCCCTCTTCACATCCCTAAGCATTCAATTGTTGATTGGATGATTATCTTGGATAGGATGCCCACAAAAGATAAGCTGGCTCGGCTGGGAATGGCTACTGATGGCATTTACAATTTGTGTGGAATCCATATTGAGACCAGAAATCATCTCTTTATGGAATTTATGGAATGCCATTTTTCTTGTGCAGTTTGGAACCAAGTGCTGCAGCTTTGCTGTCTGCGATCGAGACAGTTTGATTGGGACAATGCTATGTGCTGGGTAGTGGAGAAGCTTAAAGGTAAGTCTCTTCTTGTTTGTATTCTTAACCTTGCTTGGGCGAGGTTGTATTTTGTTCGGGAAGGACGTAATAATAGGCAGTTAAGGGGGAAATTTCGTTCGGTTGAGGATATAATTGATTGTATTAAGGAGGTGGTGAGGATTTGCTTACAATTTTGCTGTATAGATGGATTAGATGTAGTGAATACTGCTTTGTGTGGCAGTTGGGGGATCCTTTTGAATCGATCCTTTTGTAGTTTGCTGTTGCAGCAGTGGCTGTCTTTTTTTGGATCAACACAACTGATTTATCCAATAATAATAATCGTCATAAAAAATTATAATCATTTTGAAAAGGAGTTAAACAATATATAATCTTAAAAATAAAACAAGTAAAAAATTATAAAAATAAATTAATAAATTACTCACAAACTTGTCTAATTAAATTAAAATATCAACTCGTTAAGATCTTGAATTAAAGTCAAATCACATTTTAATCAAGTTCTAATCGAATTAATTCAAACTACTCGTAAAATGCTCAACTTGGCTAATACTGTTAATAATACTAGACGCGTTTTTTTCTTCATAATGATTAAAAATGAAAAATATCTTCAAATTAAAGCCTTAACAACGCTGTTTAATGAAGTTAATCCTCGAACTAGGTTTACCACGTGACAACATTTTAAACATCCCGCCAAATAAGATGGGCGTTGTAATTCTCGATTTTTTCTTGTTCAGATGTCTCCCTTTACTACGCTTTACAGGAGATGGATGAGATGCATCAGGGCTTAACGATGGGCGGCTCATGGATCTATCTTCCCTGATAAACAGAGCAATGAAAAAACCTTCTTTGTCCTCAGCAGGGTCTGTCCGAAGCAAATTTTCAGCTGCGATACAATAACGCAGCAAGACTTTTTAAACCATGGGAAAAGGAGTTGCTAGTCGAAAACCATGGGATACGGCTACGGGTAAAATGGACTTGACAACATCTTCGTTTTCAATTTGGTGGATGGAACAAGTGCTGTAAACTACTCTCTCAACTTGTGGAACTGTAAGCAGAAAATATTAAACTTGATCATTCAATAACGCTCTCCAAATATTTCAATGACCCTAACGGGGGGAGGGGGGGGACAAAAAGTAGTACTTAACAGCTCAGTGCATGCCCTAGCGCTTTCTTCTGAAAGGAGGCCAGCTTGTTAATTCTCTCTGATTCATCAATATTTGCAGCTTGACCTGCAAAATTTGATATGATAATTTGCAAGAAAACACGGAACAATTTGAAGAGAACTAAAATCTACGAGCATTATATACCTGCAGCATAAGATGGAAGCAAATGATCCAATCTCTGAGCAACTGTACCAGATCCAGAGCAGGAAGGATCCAGAAGAATAGCACGGACCTGCAATGTATTTTCACTTGAGAACTAAAGTAATAAGTAAGACCATGGCGTTAAAAGCAGCCTAGAGAAGAAAGACAAGTTGATATTGAAGACTAGGGAACAGAACTTATACACAATGATGGGTTGAGCGACTGACTGACAAAAGAGCCATGCAACTAATCGCTATTCTACTTTTCAGACTTAGAACAGTCTAAAGTAATGTAAAAAAGTCATTCCAAAAACTAAAAGAAGCCATGCCTAAACTATTTAACTTGGGACACAAGTCGGAGAACACTAACCTTGGAATACAGAGGATCTTCAGGGTCCAAGCCTAGAAAATCTCCATGAAAGACTTCAATATCTATAACTCAAATTAGGAATAACATAACACTGCAAAGATTTTCATACAGAAACACTAGGAGAATGATCAACAACATATGCCAGTAGATGACAGAAATGAAAACAGGGAATCCTATTTAAGGATGACAGGTCAATTAATGCATTATAAACGGGGTAGATTTCAGATCATATATAACAGGCCCTTCCATGATAGCATCCTGGGCAATATAGAAAAAGAGTAGTACTCGAATAAAAAAAAAACTAAATAATCACATAAAATTTGCAAGGATACTTTGTGCGCCGGATAGCCTGACAGTGTCTGCTAAACGTTTTATCCTTTCCGTATTCAGTTCACAGGCTATGACCTTTCCTTTCCCTCTCATAAGAGCAGCGAGATGGACAGTTTTGTTCCCTGGAGCTGCACATGCATCAAGTACCTTCACAAAAATATGGAAGTGAGCATGCCATGAATAGATCCCAACATCAAACTCAAGCAGAAACTTGATGAACTTCTACCATATAACTAAAGTGAACCTACACTATGGTTATAAAATATTTAAATTCAAAGAACAGTAAAAAAATAGTAAGTTAATAATTTTCCTAGCAATAACACTTACCTCCCATCCTGGTTCAGGATCAAGAGCTGCCGCCACCATAGAACTAGCTTTCCCCTGTATGATTGCCAATTTGCATCAATAAAAAAACTTAAAGAAACTGAGGAACTGCTCTTATATTCCAACAATACACAACTATAATAGTCACTTATTCATACTTGCATAAATATGCTTCCATTCATGATCAAAGGATGATCATGAAGATCGCATTTTGGTGGAAGTTTTAACAAGTCAGGAACCAGGTCGTCCTTTGCACCTGTTAAGAAAATGAAAGATTTTAACAAAATAACACATCGAAAATTGGCCACAAAAGAAGATAAAGACTAGAGATATCAGTAAATAAAAAACATAAGAAAGAATAAGAAGAGGCTGAAAACTGCAACTGCAAACTTTGTACTAAATATAATGTAGAAACAACAAAAATATGATAAGAACAAGCAGCAACGAGTGTATGCCAGCTTGATGAACCCTGGTAATGAACTCACATCACTCGCATTACTCTATATTGCTATAGAACATTCAAAATAGTTCACAACACCCCACAAGGTTTAGCTTTATCATAAGCTACAGAAAGTACCATGTACTGTTTCCTCAATTCAACTAAGGCAGAATCAACATCCAATTTAAGTGTGTTCACACGAACATAGCGGGGTTTCGAAACATCTGCAATAGACAATAAGCCGTACATCAAGTAACGACGAATTACAAGCAACAGAAGCACTTGGATGTAACAAAACATCTTACTCGACACATACCAGGGGTTTGATAATGATCTATCAAGTCTTCAATGCGCTTCATCTTTTTCCTCACTAAAAGCCGAGCTAAAGCAGACTGAAGAGGAACTTTTCTCTTTACCAGAAATTTCTCCGCATCACCAACAAATGAAATTTCCTAGAAATTAGAATTAATACCACAAGATTACCACGCATACAACAAGGATGCAAAACATTAGGGAAAATAGCACATGAAAGATGAATCCTTCAGCAAATAACTGCAAAACCATTCTATACAAAAATTACTACAACTTATGAAAAGATCTCACTTTTCAAATTAACTCAGTGCAACAAACATAGAAACATGCGAATTCAGGAAATGAAGGTAAGCAATCATATTCACTAGTTCACATTTTAAATAAAAGTTCATCTTAGAAAGCATAAGAATCTTTGAGACATTAGACATAGAAAGGCATATGGCCAACTGCATTATGTCTCAACTCCCAAGAGACTTCAAGAGTTTGCTTGTTATTCATAGGAAATTCACACACTATGCCAAGCAATGCAAAAAGAGGGGAAAAACGTAAAATATGGAAATGAGAAGCTAATGAAGATTCAAACCTGACCAAAAAGTATATCATACGCGATTATATAAACCAAATCCACTTGCCTCTGCAATATCAAGACAATAACCAGAATTATAAGACGTTTCACTGAGTTGCAATTTTTACATCTCCAATACTACAGCAAGAAAAGAAAAAATCATCGCCTTTTTTTTGTTTACTAAAAGCTCAGAAATTTTCACCTTCCATCTACCATTCAATATGTTAGCATCCTCTAACACGTCTTTAATGATACGAAGATCTGAAAACAAATCAAATCCGGAAGTGTAAAAAATGAAGCAGCTATGCTAAAGCTTCAAATTATTTTGTTCTAATCAACAAATAGAAATAGTGACAGAAAGAAAGAGAAGAATAAACGTAAGTTACGTTTGAGGGTTTGACAAACGAGAGCGAAAGTAGCCTTCTTGTTCTTAACAGAAGGGCTATAAACGAGGGACTTTATCGAACCAACGGCTCGTCGATGGGCGTCACCTTGGAGAACTGATCGTAGTACCTTCGCCGCCTCCCTCCTTGCAAAGTAAGCGGACCTCTCGGCGTTGCTCATTCGAGGCTTCACCGGTTTCTCGGAGGCTGCCGACGATGGTTGCTTCGACTTGAAACGGGCCATTGTTTGCAAGCGAGTGGGGGAACCTAGGAGGGAGGGAGCAAAGAAACCTCTACAAATTCTACGCGCAACTCAACTCAATCCAAAACGCATAGTTTCCTGTTTGGGCAGCTAGGTCTTTCCAAGCAACGGCCCATTTTTTTTAGGCTGGGAAGTAAGTTTTAAGTCCAAATTTGACGAGCATTATTTTATATCTAATAAAAAGAAGGGGCTTGCAACTTTGAGGTATGCGTGTACATATACAGGGAGCCGTAAATGAGTTGAGTTGAAATATTGTTAAATTTAATTTGATTCAAAAAGTTTAAAGTTGAACTCGAATCGACTTAAAAGTTTATGTACTTAAAATTATCAAGTTCGATTTGAACTCGAAATCAAAGATTAAAACTCGACTCGAGTTTGAAGGAAATTGAATTCAAGACATTCTTACACTTAGCTCGAACTCAAACATGTTCCTCAAGTACATTAAAATCTTATATTATAATTTTTTAAGAAAAAAACAACATATAAATATTAATATCAATAATAATTTAATTTAATTTAAAAAAATAATAACTTAATATATTTTTTTCGAGTTGCTTACGAGCTTTTCGAGTCAAGTATCAAATAACTCACTTTAGCTTGTTAATAACTTTAAGTCTATTCAATTTGAGTGTTGACGAAATTTTGATTAAGTCGAACTCAAATAACTTACTATCTTTCTCGTGTCATTTATAAACTTATATAGAATGTGCTGAGCAACATTACTTGTTATTTGCTAATATGGGTTTATGCAACAAGTAGATGACATATACTGTTTTTTTAACACAAGGGATCTTAACTGGTCTGACAATATTTTGTCAAACTTTTCTTTTTATCTGTAGGACATAAAGGAAAATGACTGGATAACTAGGTACTCCTTCACAGGAGCTACAATGTCTACGGCTAATCTGCTTCTTTATTTCCAGGTAAGATCTGTACGTCGCATTGAGACCTTGTACCTTATTTATGCTACGAGTCCTGAAACTGAAATTCAATAGCCATAGATTTTGATGCCATACTGTCTTTTGGCTTATGTGTGAAAGAAAACAACAGGTCATGATGCCTATTGCCTAACCTAACGAAGGAATATGCATATTTTATCCTTTTTTTCTCCATCCTTTGTGTGCAGGATGATGTTTCTGTTGTCATTCATTGGCTTGTGAATGGAAAAACTTGTGCAAAAGCTAGGTGGGAGCAGTTGTTTTATAATGCCAATAAAAAAATTTATTACAAATTTACAATAGCTATACTTTTTTAACATCTCTGATTCTTCATGGAGAAACACTGAACTGGACCTTTTTGTGTTGCAGTGAAGAGTGGCTCAACAAGAGGATGGACAAAAACTTGGCTACCATTAAGCCATTAATAATGGAGTCAACCTACGGCAAGGATCAGGCTGTGAAATGGACAGTTTACTGGCTAACATTCTTTATCGCTGTTGCGGAGCTCTTTGGATACAATAACGGAGAATAATGGATGGTTGCACTTTTCCTGTTCAAGAAGAAATGAAACAACCTGAAATCAACTTTGGGAATTAGGGGACCAAAATAAAATGAGCTCTGGAATTGCTGCATTCCTACGTAAATAAGTCACACGTCTTGTAGTTGTTCCATTCAGAAGAGGCATCCATTTTATACTTTAGACGAAATAAAACAACTGAATCAAGAACCAAAATGGCCTAACTTGGTTTCTTCACCTTCTTTCAATATTTCCCAACCTTATAGCATCAGCTGTTTAAATTTATGCTCAGGTTCACTTTTTTCTTCATTGTTAAAAGTTTATGCTTTATTAGCACCATTATTTTCCATTGCTTTCTTTCCTTCTGCAAGTGAAATCTGTTGGGAGTGAGATTTCAACTTCTCATGACCTTGTCCCCACTACACTCATATCAATCAACAACGGAAGATATGGCAAAAGTAAATCAAGCACAAAAGATAAACATTAACACACATATTTCCACATGTATCATGCACTATTAGAAGAAAGAAAGCACCTTACATGGCCAAGAATGGATCATTTCCAAAACCATATGCATTGGCCGGCTTATAGTGCTACAAAAACTGAATCATCTCGTCCGAAGCAATCATTGGATTTAACCAATGGAAACATGAAGAACTACACTACTATTATCTTCCAAATTTCTAAACTTTTATATAAGCACCATGGGTTGAAATAATACAAAACATGTACCTCTCGGAGTGTTTTTTTTTTTAACTCGGAGGTTCCATGAATACAATTTCCCACAGCGTCAATAGCTTCGAATCAACATAACCTCCTATTTCCTACAGCACAGTTAAGATTTACAATAGCCAGAACCTCGCATGGTTTACATCAAGATTCTCGAAACAATGGAGCGTTGCTAGAATGGTGCATGTTATATATATAGTACATGAGAGACTGATACCGTCATAAAGCCTCCTCCCCTTTGAAAAACAAATGGGAAAAACTATATCGAAGCATATAAATATATGTCATACGGTAAGACTGAAGATCGAAGGATGGTCGAGAGGTCATCATGTCTTACTCTTGAACTTTCTTTGAGCTTTCAGATCAACCACAAGTACTGTGATATTGTCCTTGCTTCCTTTTTGAAGAGCCCGGTTTGAAAGGTATTCTGCTGCAGATTGAGCAGCCGGATCAATTGTCTCGCCCCTTTCTGAAGCCAGTGTAGCACCATTCTTTTTGTGCCATTGAAGTATTCGTCTCCGAGCTAGGTCACATGCTTCTTCATTTGTCATTACATCCCATAGACCATCACTGGCTAAAATGAGGCATTCGTCTTCTTTCACTCTTGGCACGAACATTACTTCCGGATCAGGAATGATCCATGGCTTCAAATATCTATCACCTGAAACAAGAAGGGTCATTCTCGTTCCCTTTCAATTATGTGCCATGAAAGAAACAACTAAGCAACTATCCTCAAAAATTGATGGCCAGTGCTTGCTTTTTGAGGAAAAAAAGAGGCAATAGAATAATTTGAAGCTAATTAAAAGTAAGTTAAAACCATATAAGATCAATGCCCAAATTTTAATCAAGAAGATACCACCGCGAGTTCAATACTGAAAGCATAGGAGGAATACTTTAAATACTATCAGAAGACAACATGATTCTTAGGAGACATCCTTGTTAGAAAAGAAAATTGACAAGATTGTTTTATCAAGATCATAAAGGTTCAATACTCAGAATGGGACTTCTACATCAGTCGGGACACATTGTTTCATCATGCAAACTTTGATCAACATTCACTAAACTTGTTGCAAGCGTCATAATCTCCTCCGGCCAAGTTGAAGACATTTTAATTTATTATAAAACAGCTGTACCTTTTTAGCAGCTTACGCACAGAAAGTGAAAAGAAATGTTCTACATAGAGCTCAATAACACAAAGATACTGCATGCATCACAGCCATAAATAATTGAAGACTTTGATAGTAGGCAAAGCCATAGGAAATATGCCGGAAGCTAGAGTAAAAAGTTCAAGCAATACAGTAACAGATTTTGATCTACTACCCTGTCACACCATTAACTGTATATAGATATAAGCCATGCCGTGGGTGTCATTTAAGAAAAACATATAATGGTAAAGAAGAAAAGTTCAATTCTATTGAAAATTAAAAGAAGTTTCATTATGAATGAACACATACCAATGGACCTCGACATAGCAAGAACACCAAAAACTCTATGACCATTCCACTGTATAACTTTTCCTCCAGCTGCTTCAATCCTTTCATATTCATCTTCTCGATTTGGCTGAGAAAAATGAAGAGAATAGAAGTTAAAAGGGTTTAAGTTACCAACAGTAAGAAGTACAAGATATAAGGGCACAATTTAGTCTCTACTTTATGGTCCACAGATAAAGCCATGGGCTCTTTCCCACGACATAGAACAGCTCTTGAATCTCCACAGTTTGCTACAATTATATGTGAAGAAAAAATAAGGGCAACAACAGCAGTGGAACCAACTGTTTCAGGGGCAACAGGTTCCTGATCAGATTTTCCTACAATCTCAGCATCAACCTTAACAAAACAATTTGTGAATGCCTTTTTCCACAGCTCTTGGCAACCATCTGCTATGCTTGCATTACTCTGGCATTCCTTAACAGACTCTATTTCCTGAGCCAAGGCAAAATGAAGACGCTCGCTACAGTAGTTTGCAACCTGTGTACAATGGCAACGACCAAGAAAGAAATTTACTTCCAGGAAATCTCGCGAATGATCTATTGGAAAGACAAGAAGGTCAGCATGAAATATATAGATGAAATGGCCAAACTAACCTGTGAACCTCCATGACCATCATAGACCCCAAAGAAGTGAGCAGTCTGATGAGCAAAGTCCGCACTAAGGCCATCAAGTATCTGATCACCAATTAGAAATTGAATTGGAACCTTTAAAAACCGAGGCACAGCCGCAACTGCATCTTCCATCTCAGGTCTTCTTCCGCATATAGAGGTAAATCCCCAAAGAGGCACATATTCCACCTCAAACACACTGCGTCCAGCTGGAGCTGACATACTTCGTTGCTTTTCAAGAGCCAATTGAAGAACAACTGAAGATGGCTTCTGTTCAGACCCATCTCCAATCTCTTCTTCAAGGTTTACTGCCACAGCAAGGGGATCACCTGGAAACACTTTTTCAACGTTTGAATCCACAAAGTTAGTGGCTTTTGCAATTATATCTACACTCCTAATACTCTTCTCCTTGTCCACAGTACTTGATGTTCCCACCTCAGACGTAGCATCAAAACCAACGAAATCATCTCCGCAAAGGCTACTGGTCTCACTTGCAACCGATAGTGAACAAGAGCTATCAAGATCGTAAATACGATCACCTTCCAGAGACAAAGAATCTTCCTCCTCGCTATCACGGGCTATAACATCATTATTAGCAATCCAACTATCTTTACTATCAGACATCATATCCAAGGTAGTAGCTCTTTCTCCCTTGACCTCTTCTGTCAGTGGCACCTCTGTGCTAGTTTCTTCTCTCTCCATATCAGCACGGTTACAATCCACATCTTCAGCAGAATCTAAATTGTTAGTACCCTTGGTTTCGGAATCGATTAAAACTCCAGCAGGATTTGCCATAAGCTTAAGTTTTGTCATGTCCATACGGTGAGCAAAGTTGGAGTTTTCACGCACAGAATTACCTAATCTAAATGGCACCGCGACCGTCAGAGACATCTCCTCCATCGAAATCCCTATCTTGGCAGTACAAAAGGTTACCGTCCAACCCCTCAAAAATCACACAACCTGTCATTGTTCAACGAAACTATGACCTTCTTCTGAGATAAAGAACAACAATGGAATGTGAATGGTGGATTTTAGGAGACCATTTCCCATGCCTCAATCAACTAAAAGGTGTCCAAAAAAAGGGATGCAAGTTCAGGTGTTGCAACCTGTTGGTGAGTAAAAACGTTAATGACAGGAACTTGGCTAATCAGATCTGGTCCACAAAAAGTGGATCCAAACTTCCTATTTGTGGAAAAAATTACCCAAAAACAGTAACTTTAGACTTTGGTTATGCCTTTTTCAACTTCTTCTCTGGAGTCTTCTTTATCTACCTTCATCAACTAAATTTAAGACAGAAAGAACCAGAGAAAACAACTTAACAGCCACAGTCCACATAAACCAAATATATATATATATAAAGACAACCACAATTACATCAAATTGAAAACCAAAACTTTTATCCTCAAAACACAAAAAGAAAAAGACTTGGATAGAGGGAAAACAAAAAGGGTCATGAGAAAGAACTCAAAGAAAGGTGATCTCTCCCAAGAATCACAGGAAACCCCTACAAAAGATAGTACTTTTTACTTTAATATATCAATTAAAGAGTTTCCCTGGATCTAAGGCAACCTTCTCAACCTCTTGTAATTTTGGCTCTCCCCATCAGCCAACACCCAGTCCCTCCTCTCTCCCTCTCTCCCTCTCCCTCTCCTTCTCCCTCTCTCAAATAATTGGCTATCAATTATAATTTAAAAAAATGAAAATAAATATAGAAACTTCAACTGAAAAAGAAAGAATGACTACTACCTAATTTTGTCAACCGTAGTAAAGTCTTCTACTTCCCCCTCTCTTTGTAGTTGTTTCAAGCAAGGACCATTAACATCTGGGAGATGAGACATGGGAAAGAAAACAAATCAAATGAGTAGGAAAATTAAAGATATCGACTTCGAAAGAAAAAAATTAAAGATGTGGACTTTGCTTACCATTAAATTGAAATTAAAAGTTATATAGTAGACAGCTCAAGTGGTCATTAAGGATTCAAAAGATTTTTTTTTTCTTCACCAAAAGAAAAACTTTTTTATATTCTTTAATATTTTATTCATACTTACAATAATACTATTCTGGGTGTTTAGAGAGTTGAAGGAACAAAAGAAAAGGCGCTGGAGAAGAATAAGGGAGGAGAAAACTTCATGGAAAATGATATACATAGATAAAATGAAAAGGACAGAGGAAAATGAAGGGAAGAGATGACAAATGTCGAATCTTGAAAAGCATCTCCACCCATCCCATGGCTCATGCTCTCTTTCTTTTGTCCTAATATTATATATATTCTAATATTCATCCTCCAATCATACAATTTCCTTTTTTTCTAAATTATATCTTTATATGGTAAATTATTTGGTGTTTTTTAATTATACAATAATCACTTGGATTATTGGTGGTTTATCTTGTTTTACTTCAGTAATTAGCTTATTAGTTATCATCCAAAAGCAACGGGGAAAAAGTAGAAAAAGAAAATATTTACTGTTTTTCCGTTCTTCATTTTGGGATAAAATATTAAATGTTAATCTTTGAGTGTATGAATTAATTAATCTAGGCAAGATTTGTACATGATTAATTACTTGATTATATCAAGTTCTAAGTTTGGTGAATGAGTATGATAGTAAGTCAAAATCAACCAAAATTTTACCTGCCTCAAGTGAAAAGTATAATCCCACCAATCTGGCAATCTCTCAAAGGATTACAACATGTCTTTCATGTGACAAAATCTCACCTAAACAATTGATTATATGTCAAGCGTATAGTTAATCTATTGGCTAAAGCTTGACCTTTAAGCCGCAGTAAGTACTTTGTTGCATTTTAGGCAAGGGCCAGCTTTGACCTGTTTTAGTTATCACAAAAAAAATCTACAAATTTCGTTTTCTAGTTTCCTTGTTAGGACGACTACTACTACTACCACCTTTTTAAGTCAATGGGCAATGGACACTTTCTTTAAGGCACGAAACCTCTGGCTTTTCCATGGATTCAAAAGTAAAATTATCTAAGCCATCAATATCATTTCCTTTGACCAAACCACAAGGCCGGTTCAGAGTATCCTAAATTCTCAGTTGAAGACAAAGAAAATCATGTTTTAGTTGAAGGAAAAGTTCATGTTGTCACCTAACAGAAAAATAATAATGACAGAATGCTTGCCAGATTTTGATGTTCAGGTTTGTTGATCGTATGATATTCAATCACAGATGAATTCAAATGCCTCAATAGACTCAACAATTCATTCAGAGTAGTATATTTTTACATGTTATAATCATATTGTATATCATATAATTTTTAACATGTTAATAATTAGTGCTTTATAATGTAATCATTTTCAGTCAATGAATGCATCATGATATGGGCATGTTTCAGTCAACCCAACTATCACTAGGGAAAATGGAATAGAGAATTGTGGTAATGGTCCAATGCAGCAATTTTCAGGTGGTGTTTTCCCTGATGGAGGAGCACTTAATAATTGCATCAATGGCCAAAGAATGAAAAGAGACGAATGATTAAAACTGGTCAATGATATATCATTTTCAAAAGTGGACAAACTTGAACGAAAAAAATAGTAGGTAGTGCTTCAATGTACAATTTTACTGAGATTAAATTTTACCAGCAAAATATAATCTCCTCGAAGTTAATCTCTAGTTTTTGCTAATCACACAACAATAGGGGAAACATTGCTCCCAAAATGGTTTAATAGAGTTTGTCAGGAGTTTTCTATCACTTGTAAATTTTGACCAGAAACTGCCACTAGAGAAGGCAAATTTAACCAAAGCCAACCTGGGCAGCCAGTGCCAGTGCATCATCAAGTTTCATAACCTTCATCTAACGTCTAATACACAGCTTTTTTGGCTGAAAATAAGGGGTCTTTGCTTTTTGTACCAGTCAACCAAGAACTGGGTTTTAAAATTTCTCTTTAAATACTTCTGTACACTTAACAAAGTGGTTCCATATATCAATGTAAGAGGTTGTCCCTTTAGTTACTTTATGGCACCATGGGATCACCTGCTGATGCAAGCATTTGCATCTCTGTTTCCTTGGCTGATCGCCTACTAGAATAACCTACCCCTGAATCACCTGCAGATGTTCACTTAATCAGTTTTATAGTGAAGGACAAACTATAACATTACTATAATGGAAGAAAGTTGAAATGAAAAGAAGAAGAAAAAGACATAGATGCATGAAGGAGAAGGATCCATTACCATATATAGAATCATGGGATTTTTGTTCCATCGCTGGATTCTTGAAACCTACACAAGTAAAATAGTTTAGGGAAGTGATATCAAATCTCTTCACTAGTTAAAAGAAAAACTGGATACTGGACCATAAGAAAACTAAATATTATATTTCTAAAGTATTAGTATATTTTGCATTTCTCTTTTATATGCTTGTTTATAGCGACATTACAAAAAAATATCAACATAAGAGTAACTTTCTTTTCTTACGGGTTCCATGAATTGAATTATGTCAACAAATTCTAGCATTTTAAGGTGATGTTATTACTGTTGGAGAGGGATTTTCAAGTCATTAGTTGGACAAATTAATCTTGCAGGCCTAGTGGCCTACGTAATTTCCCCTAGTTGAATAACCAGTTATTGCACTCGGGTTCTGCTGGAAATTTACACCATTTTAGTTCACAATAGTCCACCTATAGATTCTGAATTTTTACCAATGTTTATGAACTAGCAACAAATAATAATATGAACTAGGGATTAAGCACGTCCAAATGATCTTTTGTAGTAGCACCATGTTTACCATGATGAGTTCAACATTCATTGATTGGTTCTTCATCCTAGCTCCTTTCTCATTGTCATCCACAGGTCTCTGTCTAACTCCTCATCTACAACTTATAAATCTGTAATTTTTCTGTTGTTCTTTAAACAGATTCAGATGAGTGGCTACTTGACTACCTAAAACTATTGGCATGCTCATCCTGCCAGAAGAAAAAGTGAAGTTGTAAATAAATCGAGGCTAATCATGGAATTCCATAAGTCTGCGGCTACTGTAGCATCTATTATGAAGCATGTGATCAAGAATTTCATGCAGATAATCAACATTAATAAGCCGCAATAGATTGAATCCAATAATCTTCACTTGTCTGACCTAAACCCAACATTAATAAGGCAAACTTGTTTCTGCACAAAATGCAAGAGTATTCACAAGCAAACATAGATATTTATCACTGACAAGCCCCCAGTCCCCCACCCAAAAAGGAAAAAAGCAGCATCGATGGAGTAAAAGGATCAAATCTTGACAATTTAGTGAAATTGCATACCAAAAGAATGGCGCAGACCTTTGACAGCATCAAAATTCTTGTATGTGTAACCAACAAAATTTAGATCTTTAGGTGTTAAAAGCATCTGCATTAAGTGGGAAAAAAGATAAATAAACTTCAACATATTTTCGCATGTCAGGCACTCACTACTCTGTATAAATAATATCAAGATAAAAATTGTTGAATACAACGCGAACCAAGCATGTTGATTTTGGTGGGAAAAATTGTATATACTTCGCATCTATGCATTTGTTATTGTCACAAATTAATGAAGAGTTTTTACAGAAGAGATATCAATTGTTTTGTAAACTAACATTTTCGGAACAAAAAAGGGAAAAGGAATAGAATTTCCATAATTGCATATTCATGACATTATCAGATCATATTGTAGAACAAAAACTAGCCACGTACTAGGAAAATAGTGTAAATAAAATGAAATACACTAGTTGGAAAGTATTCAGTTACAAACCTTCCGTGAATGTCCCGAGCTAGTTCTTGAAGGTGCTGGAGCATCCAACTGGTGAGGATTCCAAAAGTGGACAATTTATGAGAAAAAAAAAATTGCTTCAGTTTCACCAACATGGATAAATAAATAGTGAACAAAGTGATTAGCGTTTGGAAAAAGAAAAAACAAAAGTTATAGAAAAAGGTGGAATTCAAGTTATACCTCATCAAACTTCATAAAATTTTGTGTATCTAATTCCCCATTCACTTCGGGTTTAAATGCTGCCTCCATCTCATAAAGTTTATCCCACACAACGTCCTTGAACCAAGGATGAGCCTGATAAAATCAAATGTCAACAATCAAACGAGGAAGAGATAGTTGGTAGAAAAGGAATGACATCTTAATATATCATAATCTTACTTTAATTTGATGTGCCCCTCCAGTACCCAATCTGCGATCGACATCACAAAGCAATCTACAAATGAGATCCTTTGCCTCATGACTTAACCTTGAATCCTCAGGAAATCTTAGGTGACTTCTCCAATGCACAATCTAAAAATGATTTATGAACAAAATGTTAGGAAAAGAAGGATATCTTGAATTTGGAGAGAGCACAGATGAAAGTTAATCATAAGAATATATCTAAGATAAACCAGAAAGTAGATCTAAGAAAATAAAGCCAGACAGAAGTGTTACCTTTCTGCATGTGGTAATCGGATCATCTGAATAAAATGGTGGATATCCAATTAGCATTTCATACATTATTGCTCCTAGTGACCACCTAAAAGAAGTCCACAGAAAAGGCAGTATTACTTATGATAAGAGAACTTCACAAAGGAACCTGTGCCCATTCAATAGGAAGTAAACAAAACTTCAGCAATTCTTAGCTCCCATATTTGAATTTGTTACTGGAAAAGATGATAGGTAAAACACAATAAGAAAAGTTGAACAGATAAGCCTCACAATGGACAAAAAGTAATAAAATGGAGAAGTAATAATAGATGCCAATTGCAACCATGACTGAAGAGAACTGTAAAGAAATACAACTAACCAGTCACACTCCATGCCATATCCTTTTTTCAGTAACACTTCGGGAGCTATGTAATCAGGCGTTCCCACAGTTGAAAATGCCTTCAACAGAAAGAAAAGAAACTAAAAACCAAAATACTGGAAAACTGTGCTGCAAACTATACCATGTCTTTTAAATCATAATCTGATTGCATTACTACTTATGTAGCTATAGTTACCAAAAACCTTTGTCCTCAGGCTTTAAGAATCATTAATAGTTAACAGTGCAGTTATTTGCAAACAAATTTTAAGGAAAACAATTAGCAACATGAGAAGTAGACATAGTTCAACAG